CAGTCTTACCAGCAAGTTCATAGGGAAGAGTAATAGTGGAGACAAGCCACCTGGACAAGGTGGAAGATGACGCTGGAGAACCCTTGTGTGGTCTGTGAAAGCACAGGAAGAGCCTTTCAGATTTACGAAAGTCCTTTGTCCTAGAAGTATAATATGCCAACGCTCTCCTGACATCGAGGGAATGGAGCATCTTTTTGACATCAGACGAAGGATCAGGAAACAAGGTAGGTAACGAAAGAGGTTGATTAAGATGAAATTCTGTGACAACTTTGGGTAAGAACGAAACATCTGGAAACAACATAACTTTGTCCTTGTAGAATTGCAGGTAAGGAGCATCAGATCTCAGAGCTGCTAACTCACTTGCTCTTCTAGCGGATGTAACAGCAACTAGAAAAAGAGTCTTGTATGATAAAAGTTTGAGTCTTGTGTCAGAAGATGTGGCAGTAGTGGAAGCTTCAGCATGTCCACTGCTAAGTCTCTCAGAGTAGAGAACCACGGTTGACGCGGCCAGCAGGGAGCTATGATGATGGCTTGCGCTCGTTCCTGCTTGAGCTTGACCAGGGTCCGCTGGATCAAAGGAATCGGTGGAAACAGGTAAAGTCGTTCTTGCCAGGGTATCATGAAGGCATCTCCCAGGGAGCCTGGACCTCTGCCCGCTCAAGATGCATATCTGTTGAACTTCCTGTTTGTGTGAGAAGCGAACACGTCTATGGATGGTTGACCCTACCTTATGCATAGCATCTAGAATATGCTGTCATCCAGCTTTCACTTGTGGGATTGTCCTGTCAGTTGACTCAACTGGTCTGTTAGCTGATTGTCTGATGTTGCAATGTGAATTGCCACTGGATAGATGTGACGGTGGTAACACCACTCCCACAGGTGCACAGACAGGTAGAGAAGTGACATTAACCTCGTTCCTCCCTGTTTGTTGACGTAGTACATGGTCGTGGTGTTGTCTGTCACAACCTGAACACCACGACCCTGTATCAGTGGGAGGAACGCTCTGAAGGCCCGAATCACTGTTAGCATCTCCAAATGGTTGATGTGGAGTCCTTTGTGTCTCTGAGACCAGAGTGCATGTATTTTGTGCCCGTTGCAATGCGCGCCCCAACCTATGGAACTTGCATCTGTTGTTACTTGCACAGATAGTTGTAGTGGACAAAAAGGACGCCCCATCAGGAGATGTGGTAGGAAGCTCCACCATCTGAGCTGCTTTGCCAACTCTGGGGTGACCAGAATCTTTTTCTGAGGGTCGTCACAGAGTGCGTTGAGGTGATGGAGGAGCCACGCCTGCATAGAGCGCATCTTCAACCTCGCATGTGAGAGAGATGCTGTTGTCGAGGCCATGAGGCCTAACAGGTGTTGTGCATGGTGAGCCAACACCAGCGAGTGTGGATGGAACTTCTGGACGGCTGCCCTCAATTTCTGAATGCGCTCTGTGGGAAGAAAGAGCCTTGCCTGTATGGAGTTTAATGTGGCTCCTATGTAACTGGTGATGCGAGATGGTATCAGAGTGGATTTCTCGTAGTTCACTGTGAGGCCTAGGTTTTGAAGAATGGTTAGAGTATAACTTGAGTCATGGATGGCCTTTTTCCTGGATGGAGACACAATCAGCCAGTCGTCTATATAGGGGAACACTTTCACTCCTTGTAGACGTAGAAAGGCTGCTACAGGTGCCATGCACTTTGTAAACGTGTGTGGAGCCATTGCTAAGCCGAATGGTAAGGCCGCATATTGGAATATTTTGTTGTTGATCACAAAGTGCAGATACTTCCTGTGATGATGGTGAATTGTGATGTGGAAATATGCATCTTTGAGGTCTATGACTGTAAACCAATCTCCTTTTTTCAGTAGGTGGATGATGGACTTCAGTGTGACCATCCAGAACCGACGTGGATGAAGGTAAGTGTTCAGGTCCCTCAGATCTAGAATTGGTCTAAGTCCTCCGTCTTTCTTGGATACTGTGAAGTACCTTGAGTAAAATCCTCTGGCAATGTCTCGATGAGGGACCTGCTGTATAGCCTCTTTTTGGAGCAGAGTGAGAACTTCCTCCTCCAGGGTACAGTTGGATGTTGTCACCTTTACATAACCTAGAGGGGGAAGCTCCACAAACTCTAGCCTGTAGCTGAATTGGATTATGTCCAGAACCCAATTGTCCTTTGGGATCTTTTGCCAATTGTGTAGAAATGGGGCCAAACGGGTCAGATTGTCATGGGTCTGACTGATCTGGGAGTCAAAGATATTGCTTGGATTTTTTTGTAGGAGGACGGTAGGAATGACGTTTCTGTGTTTGTTGTTTGTAGGATGGAGCAGTAGAAGAGTTGCGAGATGACCTGCCTTGTGAACCTCTGAACTGTTTGTAACCTTGAGAGGTCTGCTGTTGCTACTGCCGCTGTGGAAACTGCCTCTGCCACTGGGACTTCTGAAATTTCGGTTGTTGGTGAATTGTATATGATTTGTCTTAATTTCTTGAAGACTCTTAAGGGGTTCATCAGTTTTCTCATTAAATAAACCTTTGGCGCCAAAAGCTTGTTCCTCTATCTGCTTTTTAACGTCCTCTACAATACTGGATGCTCTGAGCCAGGCATGTCGGCGTAAGGTAATGGTAGAGGTGAGTGTCCTGGCTGCTGCATCCGTAGCATGTCTGGCTGCCAGGCGTTGATGCTTAGAGAGCATCATTGCCTCAGCATAAGCATTGAGAAAGTCCTGTCTAGTATCATCAGGTGCACTTTGAAGGGCTGGTAGGATCTTGGTCCAAAGATGCTTCTGATAGGCACCCATCGCAGCCTGATAATTGCAGATATGCAGAAGGAAAGTCTGAAAATTGTAAATCTTTCTGCCCAAGACATCCAACTTCCTACCCTCTCGATTGGTAGGAGTAATATGCTGTCTGCCAGATGCCTTTGAAGAGTTGGCGTGGACAATTACAGAATTAGGTGCAGGATGTTTTGAAATAAATGTACAGTAGTATCTTCTCCATGTACTCTATAGATTCTCAGTTCGCCTGGGCACAGGTAAGGGAGTGGAAGGTTGAGACCAGGCCTTATGTATAAGATTGATTAACTGAGATATAAAAGTCAGGCTTAGAGGCTGTGACCTCTCTTGGTCTATATCACCGAAGATCAGGTCCTCCGATGGGGGAGGAGCTTGTTGTGTTTGCATTTTCAAAGACTTAGCCATTCTGGCCACCATATGAACATACAATGAAAAATCTTCAGAAGGTGAAGATGGGTTCGGATCCCCTATGTCAGATTCACATGTGTCCGCTTCAACAAGGGACTGTTGAGGAGAAAGCAGTTCCTGTCCTTGATCAGAATACTCTGCACACAGAGCATCTTTCTCATCAGAGGGCATCTGTCTTTGAGAAAAGGGAACAGCCTGGTTAGTACTTTTGGACACTGATGTTGATGTAGATGTAGCCTTGGTAGGTGCCTTGGTAGGAGCCTTCTTAGGTAGTACAGGCGCCTTGGCATCGTGGTCCCATCGACGTCGATACGGGGAGGGAGAAGGCGACCTGTCAGAAGACGAAGTAGAAGTATAGCATCTTTTCCTATGCTTGCGACGATCATCCGACGTCTAGGAATAAGAAGAAGTAGAGTCGGTGTCGTAGTACCGATGCCGGTGTCTCGACCGTCTTCTATCAGTATGTCGACCAGAAGAACGGCCCCGCTTGTGTCTCTTTCGATGCCGAGCTTCCCTGTCAGAAGATTGACGTCAATCTGCTGAAGAATGCCTCCTTTTTAATGTTCTCTTTCGTGGAGGGAGACTTCGCCTTGGTGAAGACGAAGGCGAGTGTGGATGCTCAGTCGCCCGCCCGGCATCAGCAGGGCTAGGAAGGGCAGAGTGAGGGCTGAACAGCCTCTTCTAACATTTCTGGGCTAGGAGAGCACCCAACTTCCAAATTGGCATCGGCTTGCTGGCTAGGAGGTATAGATGGAGCAGCCTCAGATAGGGATTCTTGATCCCTCGACGAATTCTCTAATATTGGTGAAGGCAGAGACGGAGTGACAGGAGGGATGGTAGTCTGCTCTTTACTCTTGTCCTTCTTGTTATGGCCAGTGGGCTTTTTAGCTTTTGAGGTGTCCTTTAGGGTGGACACCTTCGAAACTGAAGATGCAGGCTTCTTAGAGGAGCCTGAGGCAGACTTTTTTGGCGGTTTTGCACCAGACTTTGAAGTACTCGTGGATGTAGTAGGAGTAGTTGCCTCAGACCGAGGAGTCATGGAAGGATTGGAAGAAGTTTCCATTTCTGAGGGACGGGAAGCAGATAAAGTCTTGTCCCACAGATAGTATCTAAGGCTTTGCTGCCTTGCCTCAAGCGCAGCCTTTGTAAACTTCTTGCAGTGGCGACAAGAAGAGGGAATATGACTGTCTCCCAGACAGAACAAACAAAAGTCGTGCTTGTCATAAAAGAGTAGTTTTCTTGAACAAGCCCTGCACTTGCTAAAAGGGCCTGACGAGGACATAAAACAAGCAGGCTGTGAGAACCTTGGTACTCACAGCAATGACTGGAAATATCCTGAGGCAAACGAGTTAAGTGGATAATGGCGCTCCCTGTGGCGCCAATTAGGCGGGTAATCAGGCAATCCACAATAGCGTGGGGAAAAGCCAAAATTACAGCCAAAGTCCTTAAAGAAAGAGAATGGTCGACACAGTCCGAAGTCAAGGGGCAGTAGAGGATATTCTTAGCCGAAAAAATAGTCCGAAAATCAAGCCAAAATACCAAATATCAAGAGCTCTGTCCGAAACGTTCCTAGCACTGTGGCGGAAAAATTGGAATTGAAGGCTGGGGGGGGAATGGAGCATGCGTGCAAGGGGCAATCAAAACTTTGTATATTTTCAGAAAAGCTCTAGAAGATTCCGAAGTTCCAGCGCAGGTGCTGATTGAACCCATATGTGTGCATTCACAGAGGCCACGCTGAAGAACCAAAGTATCTAGCACAGAGGTCATCAACCCCCAGTCCGCAGCCTGAGTTGGACCGGGCCACTGAGACAGACCTCCCACCCCACCCCCTCCACACACTCATTCCAGCCCGTTTGCACCTGGGCAAGCGCTGCACCATCATTTGTGCATGCGCATGAGCAGTGCCACGCCTTCCCCAGCCAATCTGCGGACCAAAAAAGGCTGGGGACCGCTGAAGCAGGCAAAAAGCTGAGGACCATTGTGAAAGCTCTGGCAAAACAGGCAAGAGAGTCATGCTGCATACATATTCCTTCACTGATTAATGACTCTGTCACTACAAAAACATGCAAAAGTTTGCCTATCCCCAGCAAATGAACCCATGAGGTTCTCTCTGAATTGATCCACACAGTGTCCTGACAGGAAATTTGGCCCAGTTCTTAAGAGTCCCCCCTCCTCATATAAACTGACATGTTTTATTACCATCTGGGTAAATTTAATGATATATGTTACTTTGATAAATGATAATTAGTCATGCTACAGATGCTACACAGATCATGCCATGCTTTATAAGTCTGAGTGAGGGCAGTGAAGTGGCTATGAACATCCATCAATGTTCCTTTCAGTCCCCATAGTTTCATTTCCTTTGTTCAGACTAATCATAGGTCCAGCGTTTGAGCCATTAAGTCTTTAACATGCTTTGGGATGGGAGGTACATTATACAGCACTTGCCCTGCAGTTCAGGCAGCAGTGAAGTCATTCTGCTTGGGCATCGCTCCTAAATGTAGACTGAATCTTGAGTTTAAGTTTTATTATTATATGGTTATAGTCCCAAAAATTCAAAGATAAAAACATTATATAAGATATACAGAGTAAAACTGAATCTTTAAAGGAAACCAGGGGTACAAATGGCTTTTAATAATGTTTCTTAAAAACCCTTCCTAGTGTGATTCTCTGCTCCATTCTTGTGTTTATCCTGCACTTCAAGACTCAAGTCCTACCAACAGAACCACCTTGTGTCCACACACACCTAGAGTGGAATTCTTTCTTCCTGAAAAACTATCCACTAAATGCAGAGGTCGTTTCTGTACATTACAAAGGACTACTGGATTTGCAAAGCCATTTAGGCAGCCTCTACCTTTTGGGTCTATGTTTGGAGGACAGAACAAGAGCACTTGGAAGTGAGTATCAATGGTCTAAATCTAAATGAACAATTTTTGAACTTTACTGGGAATGCCTGGAGAAAAATTGAATACTTCCCTCCCAAAGTCTATTAAAGCAAGCTGTGGTGGCTTCTTCATGATGGATCTATTCAATCATCATTGATAAAAGTACAGTGGGGCCTCGCTAGACTATTACCTCGCTTAACAACAAATTTGCTATACAATGACTTTTGGGAGTGATGTTGCGCTTCGCAAAACGATGGTTCCTATGGCTGATTTTCGCTTGCCGATGTTTAGGACCTTGCCTTGCAAGATGGTTAATTTTTGTGACCCTGTTTTGCTATACGATGATTTTGACAGCTTGGGTTCTGTGCTTCGCTAGATGAGTGTTTTAACAGTCGCTGTTTTGCTAGACAACTGTCTGCAGTGTGTTTTTTTCTGTTGTTGTTTTCTTTCAAATTTCAACAGTCAATACCCAGGATGCATTGTGCCTTGTGCCAGGAAGGTTTAAAAACCCTTCCCCATGCAGCCTGGGGTTACTTTTCCACATACAGTTCCAAGGTTGACTTCTTGAGGAGCAACTTTGGTTTGTCTTGTGGATGCATCCTGAGCTCAAAGAGAACTGAAGAGAAGATCTGTAGAACTTCTTGGCCAGCAAAAGGTAAGCCTGTATTTGATCTCCTGTGTGGGTGGTGGGTTTTATTGCAAAAGTCAGACTTTAATTTTTTTTATTTTTGGGTAAATTGCAGGGGGGGCTTTTGGTCTGGCTGGCTCTTGCACTGGTTGTGTGTGTGGGAAGCTTGCAGACTAGTGATTTAACATTTTTGCTGGGGGGGCTTTTGGTCTGGCTGGCTCTTGCATTGGTTGTGTGTGGGGGGAACCTAGAACTCTGATTTTAATTTTTTTCCTTGGGGAATTTGGGTCTCCCTTGCTATTGCATTGGTTGGGGGGGGGGAACCTAGCAGAACTGTGATTTTAAATTTTTTCCTTGGGGAATCTGGTTCTCCCTTGCTATTGCATTGGTTGTGTGTGTGGGAATCTAGCAGAACTGTAATTTTAAATTTTTCCCTTGGGGAATCTGGGTCTCCCTTGCTATTGCTTTGCTTGGGGGGGGGGACCTAGCGGAAGCCTGTTTTTAAATTTTGGGTACCTTGCAGGGGAAACTTAGGGGGTACAGTAGCTTCTGTTGTGGGGGTTTGAATGCAAAAGTCTGATGCCAAGTTTTTTTTTTTTGTTTTTGTTTTTACTGTAGGCATCCTTTCTGTCGGGTGGTGTAGCCTTCGGTGGAATTTTCCAGAACTTCTTGGACAGCAAAAGGTAGGTCTGCATTTCTTTCCCTGTTTTGGGGGGGAGGTTATGCCAAGTTTTATTATTTTAGGCATCCTATTTTTGGTGAGGTTGGTGTAGTGTGGTCTTCAGTGAAGTTGGAGTTTTCCAGAACTTTTTGGGCAGCAAAAGGTAGGTAGATCTACATTTCTTCTCCTGTTTTCTTTGTGGGGGAGGGAGGTTAGGCTAAGTTTAATTTTTTTAAATTTCTTTGGTAAGGCATCCTCCTGTCTTTCATCTGGTGTGGTCTTCAGAGGAGTTTTCCATAACTTTTTGGACAGCGAGATGTAGGTCTGCATTTGTTCTCCTGTGTTGGGGGGGGGGAGAATTATACTTGTGCTGGGGGGAGTGTTATGCCACTTGTTTGTCCAGGGCAGTTTTGGCCAGGGGTGGGAAGGTGTGTGGGAAGGTGAAGCGGATGTAAAGCACTGCCATTTGTTTTTGTGTACGTAGCAGCTGCTGACATGGGTCCCAAGAAGCCTGCTTCTGCAGGGGCCGGGAAGATGACCAAGAAGAAGATAACCCTGGAGATGAAGGAGGAGGTCATCCGGAAGTACAACAGAGGCACGCGCATCGCGGTCATCGCCAGGGAGTACGGGAGGAATCCACCATTGGTACCATTGTGAAGATGAGGGAGAAGATCCTTGCCACAGATGCAGCCAAGGGAGTCACCAGGATCGTGAAGAACCGGCCAGCTGTTCTGGAGGAGTTGAGAAATTGCTGCTCATCTGGATGCAGAAGCAGCATTCAGGGGACACAGTGACTGAGGCTGTCATCTGCGAGAAGGCCAGGGAGCCTCAGCCGAGCCAGAAGAATTCAAGGCAAGCAGAGGCTGGTTTGAAAGATTCAAAACCAGATCTGGAATCCACAGCATGGTCAGGCATGGAGAGGCTGCCAGCTCCGATGTTCCTGCGCCTGAGGACTTTGCCATGGAGTTCCTGGAGGTCGTGATGACAAAGGGCTACCTTCCACAGCAGGTCTTCAATTGCGACGAGACCGGGCTGTTTTGGAAGAGGATGCCCCAAAGCACCTTCCTGACTCAAGAGGAGAGCAAGCTGCCTGGCCACAAGCCCATGAAGGACCGTCTCAACCTCCTCTTCTGTGCCAACGCCAGCGGGGATCTGAAGATAAAGCCCTTGCTTGTCTACCACTCCAAGAACCCACGGGCTTTCAAGAAACACAAGGTGGACAAAGGCTGGCTGAGCGTGATGTGGCGATCTAATGCCAAGGCTTGGGTCACACGCGTCCTCTTTGTGGACTGGGTCAATCAGACTTGGCCCAGCAGTCAAGCGGTACCTGGTGGACAATGACCTGCCACTGAAGGCCCTGCTCCTGCTGGACAATGCTCCTGCCCATCCTCCAGGCCTTGAGGACGACTTGTTGGAGGAGTTCAGCTTCATCAAGATCATGTTTCTGCCGCCTAATACCACCCCGGTACTCCAGCCGATGGACCAGCAGGTCATTGTGAACTTCAAGAAGAGGTACACCAAGGAGCTTTTCCGGTGCTGCTTCGAGGTGACCGATACCACCAACCTCACCTTGCTTGAATTTTGGAGGGAGCACTTTGACATCGTCATCTGTCTGAAGTTGATCACCATGGCCTGGGACGGGATCAGCCAGAGGAACCTGAACTCTGCTTGGCTCAACCTCTGGCCAGAATGTGTGGCAACTGGTGTTTCTGCGCTTGCACCAGAGTCCAGAGTGATGGAGGACATTGTGGCCTTGGGGAGGAACATGGACTTCGAGGTCACAGAGGACATCTGCGAACTGGTGGAGGGCCACAACCAGGATCTGTCCACCCAGGAGCTGTTCGAGCTGCAGGCAGAGGTTACGGAGGAGCAGGAAGAAGAACCAGGGGAGGAACAGCTGTCCACCAGTGAACTGAAGCTCTTGCACCAGTAGCAGAACGTTCAGACTCAAATTCAACGGCACCACCTGGACAAGGCTCTGGGACATCAGCTTGTGCACTTTTGATGAGAAGCTTATGACCCCTTTTCAGAGGGATGCTGAAAAGGAGGCAGAAGCAGCTCACCATGGAGAGGTTCCTCACAAAGAGGCCAAGACAGGAAGAGGAACCTGCGGCTTCCACCAGTGGTGCCCAGTTGCCTTCTACCTCCTCCTCGTCCCCCTAGAAGACTGGACTGCTGCTGTGATGTGGGGACAGTTTTGTGTGCCTCCAGGTTCCTGAACTGAACACTGGTGCTGGTGGTTTAGAGACTTCAGCTTCACTTCTTCAGTTTTAAAATGTTAAATGTAAAAAGTTTCTGTAATGTTTATGCAATTCCTGAAAAATTTCTGTATGTTTCTGCACTTTATGAAGAGTTTCTGTATGTTCATGCACTTTCTAAAGAGTTTTGTATAATCCAGTGACTGTTTCTGTTCAGTTTCACTGAAGGCAGATGTTCCTGCCTCATATTTGCTGATTTTTTAATGTTTTTCTATGTTATTTATAAAGTTAATGTTTTTGATTGAAATTTTTGAAATCACCTGCACAGTATTTCTGATGTTAAAGAGCACTTAATAAGCCCTTTGTTAACCAAATTTGACTTTGTTCTGACTTTTTTTTACTTTGTTGTTGTAACTTTTCCCCCCCATTGAAATGCATTGAATAGGTTTCAATGCATTTCAGTTGGGAACCGCGTTTCGCTAGATGATGTTTCCTATGGCAATTTTCACTTGACGACGACGACTCGTTCCCATTGGAACAGATTAACCGGTTTTCAATGCATTTCAATGGGAAACCGCGTTTCGCAGGACGTGCATTTCAATGGGAAACCGCGTTTCGCATGACAATGTTTTCGCAAGACGACGATTTTTGCGGGACGAATTAACATCGTCTTGCGAGACACCACTGTACTAAAATATCAAGGCCGTTCTTTTGGTCAACAATGGAATAATTAAGACAGCCTAATGCAGTTGATGCCCCATTTTAAACAGATAAATGTGAGCATATCCTGTGCCCACGGCATTACCCTAACTGGAACCAGCAAGAAAGTCTTTTGGGTTCCCATTTGCAGTCAGTCCTGTTCCTTTCCATTTCTTTTTTTCCTGAATGTACCCATTCCTACCACATGGTCCACTACTGTTAGCAGTACTTAAGTGCTCTTAGTCACATATCCCAACCTGTTTTGTCATTTCCTAAGCATTACGTTCTTCTCTTTATTTGGCAACTGCCAATTCCCCACACACCATCTTTCTCGGACTTGAAGTTAGGTTTGTCAAACCTAGTACAGTGGTGCCTCGCTTAACGATTTTAATTGGTTCAAAAAAAAATTGCTATGTGAAAACATTGTTAAGCGAAACACCATTTCCCATAGGAATGCATTGAAAACCGGATAATCCGTTCCAATTGGAACGGATTACCATCCTTAAGCGAAAACCCCCATAGGTAAAAACGTTAAGCGAAACCCATTGAAATGCATTGAAGCCTATTTCAATAGGGGGGAAATTCACAAACAATTCAAAAAGACTCAGAACAAAGCTAAATTAAGTTAACGAAGGTTTTATAAGGTGCACTAACGATTCCAAGCATTTTAAACATTTTAAAAACATTTTAGAATATTTTAAAAATAGCGAAAACGGGGCTGTAAAAAAAAGTTAAGCGAAACAAGGGGACCTAAAACTGTCATCGTTAAGTGAAGCATGGTCCCGAAATCGTTAAGCGCCCATAGGGAAAACCGTTAAGTGAAGCACAAGATCGCTCCAGAAAAGCCATCGTTAAGCGAATTCTTCGTTGTACGAAGCAATCGTTAAGCGAGGCACCACTGTACACAGATCCTGAGCCAGGGGTTCACTGTTATACATGTATACCTGTTTGTGTATGCATACCTACAAAAAATGAATGAAGATGCTTGCTAAAACAAAAAACTGAGAGTACTAACTAGCTTTTTCTCAATGGCTGAGCAGAACATGGTGCGAATAAATGCAAAGTATCATTTCTTGTAATTTTAATTGTATTTGTTTATTGAATTTGTATATCATCATTTAGTGAATACACACAACTCTGGGCAGTGCACAGGATAAAACATGAACCCACACTCCACTCCCATGTAACAATATAAGCAATATGGTGATACAACCAACCTGAATGCAGTTGAACTCAACCCCAATTCACAACAGTCAATAAACACTTCATTCAAAAGAACTGGGGGAAAACAAAGATAGTTGAATATAGTTTAAGAGGGCACCATTCTTTCTAACAAACTAGTCAAAAACCAGTCTTCCTTCATACTACCCAAAGTATGCCTGAAATCTGGCTCATAAGCCAAATCCAGTTGTCCAAAGCATGTCCAGAACTGCAGCCATATTTCGCATCAGTTTGTGGCTCTTCCAAATCATGGTATTTTTATTCATATAGTCCAGACATCTGAATGTGACTCAACCACACTAATGGTATGTCAAAATCCTGCTCAGTTCAATTGTTATGTGACTTCCTAAATAACTCAAGACCAACTCCAATACTTACAATCCCCCCATGGAGATTTCGTGCATCCTGGCATTTAATTTGAAGGATAAGTACTCTTGAAAAAGTTCAAACAGATAACCATAATAATAACAACTCTTTAGCATACCATTCTCCTGGTATGAAGACTTGCCATAAAATCACTGACATGAACATAGTAAATATTTCAATAGTAAACATTAACATAGTAAATATTTCAATGTTACTAATTTATGGGGAACTGTACAGAGTCCTCTATGTATTGTACAGGATATAATATTGCTTTGAAGAACAGAACAGAGCATACAAAATATTCCGCCTGCTCTACCATATTAAAATCGCATGCAACAAAACAACAAAAGTAATACTAGCTAATTAACTTTCAATAGTCCAAAATTATTGAGTTCCATTGTTTTTGTGGACATGCATCCAACTGAAAACTGAAACTTCCTAAGAAACCTTAACAAATGTTTACTTTTTATACATACTTTTAATATGTTTAATATAATTCAAACATACTTAAGATCTGCATTACATTGTTTCTGAAAAATTCACATTCTTCAAACCTTTTCTTTACTTAAAACAATCTCTAAGATTGTAATCTTCTTACACATACATCCTTGGACATACTGTACATGCTCCAATGAAATCCATGGTAATTAATTCCAAATAAGTGTAAAGTGGAGGGCGTGAGAATTTATGTTAAGAAGCACTAAGATGAGGCAGAAAGTTGGAGCACGATGGGAATACAAATTATTTCCTTACAATGAAAGAAAGTGTTCACTGGGTTAGGGCTATTTACAGTAGCCATCATTTAACTAAAGAAAATACTTGGCAAAGTTAAAATGTTTCATCACTGAAATGTGATGTCTGCAGTACGGCATTGATCAAAACTCTGAATGGTTTCCATGAAATTCAAATTTGTACCAGAGAAAGCTCAAGGTCATTTCTTGAGACTACCAATCTCAAAGGCATGGTTTAAACTGGCATGCCTCCTGGCGCAAAGAAAAGAAACAAAGACCCTAGTGATTTGCAAGTCAAGCTCGATAAGCAAAATGCTTTTACGTCACATGTTTACCCACTTTCTGGTTGTCATGGGTTCCACCAGTGAACAACTGAGAATGTGATATCGAATAGTGGTTTCTAAAGTAATCTACAGAATTCTGTCATTGTTGTGGATAACAAATCTAATAACAGTAATTTCAGCAAGGAAATTAATCTTCCTGAAGTGATAAAAGATACAAATTCAAAAGAACTGCATTAGATTAAGCAAAGAACTCATACTATACTACAGGTATGTATATAACGTTTATTCACAATCTCCCTATACATACTGGATTTTAAAGTAGGGAACACTGTAATATTCTTAAAGTCATATACCCTACTGCTAGAAGTTCTTCTATTCTTTAAATTGCCTTGTCTTCAAATAAAGCATTCATTATCTGTGTTATTTCGGTTTAATCTTAAACATGTTTTGTCTAAAGAAAACCCCATATGATTCAAAGGGCTTACTCCCAGGGATGCTGGATTCAGCCTTTAAGAACACTCTTTGGGAAAAAACAGATAAAGCACAGAATGAAATATGTTAATTAGCCTTGATATACATTAGTTTCCAATTGTTCACTTGTTTTGTCTCACATTTATTGCAGGGTGGTGCTGGTACCCACTTTTCTTCTGTGACTAATTGTCAACATTTATATAGGCTATCATACTGTGTTTTACTTACCAACTCACATGCATTGATATTCAGTTTAATTTTTTTATATAGTGTACCGTTTAGCTGCATAAAAATGCTGTCTTATATCAAAGCTGGATATTATGCATAATTGTAAAGCTTTTTTGGGGGGAATAGGGTGAGGGAGCAGTAAATATGTGCATAAAAGTGTGTATGTGTGTGCATATGTGTTTGCAACACACCGATCCCCTGACAGCACCTGTGTGTGCACGTCTGTCTTGACCCTTTTTACTAGATCAATGGGCCCCACTTAGCTCTGTCCAAATTTCTCACTTCCTCCTCGCTTGCCTTGCCTACCCTTTCCATCTTATATTTTTTCACTCCTCCTGCCCTCTACTAAGCAAGGGAAGTGATTACCTTGCCAATATTCAGAGGTAGCTTGATTATTAAGCCACTTCACAAGATTGGCTTTGGAGCTAGCCATCAGGCTTGATTACAACAATCAAATCAAGCCTGATCATTCACAAAGAAATGGCAGGAGCCATTTGTGAGCCAAAACAGTCCACAGTAGCTAGCTCCCTACTACTATGCTAGTGTAGCTGTATCCTTGAACACATATATCAGAGCAGATGAGTGTAATAACACACATTTAAAGCTATGACCCTGGAGTACTAAGTCTAAAAGCATTTGATTGCCTCTAAACTCTGCTTTATGTCCACCTCCATCTGCTAAATGCAAATAATCACACTGATCTGTCCAGGGAAACGGCTGGTATAAGATGGCTCTCCAACTGCAGTTCATCCCCACTAGATTTTACTGTAAAAATGGTAGTAACTTCTCAATACTTCTATTAATGAATTACAGCAGTATCCTTGCTTTCGTATCTGTTTTCTTTTTTCTAACTATTTTATGTGCAGTTGCTGAAATATGACTTAATTGCTGAAGTTTACAAAACTGTGTTTACGGGGTGCAGAGGTTTTGCCCTAGAAATTAAAACTGCTTTAAAAATGTGCCTCAGAGAGATGCATCAAAAGTTAAAGTATTATTGAAAAACTACAGCTGGGAATATTGTTTTCAACACAGCCACTTGTTTTTGGAACATGGAAATGATAACAAGGCAGAAGTAATTCAGTTTTATGCCAGTTTTCGCAGTAAAAAAAAAGTAAATTGAGTGATTATTTTATATGAAACAGAGATGACAACAGAAAACAGAGTGCCTTTTAAATTGCCACTTGTGTTGGTATCTATAATGCCAATTAACAGATATCACAAAATAGATGTGGAAATCTGTGTTAAACAAATAAGAACAACAATATATTGCACAACAGAAACTTTTATAGCAAAACGTCAGGAAGAACAACCTTCAGAACATGGCCAAAGAACCCGAAAAACCCACAACAACCATTTTACAGAATAGTTTAAAAAGAAAAATGGATGAATGCAGTTTGTTTAAAAAAACAAGCAAAGAAGGGAAAGAAAGGTATCATTTGTTTTATAAGGTTTTAACCTCATGATTAAAAGTAACTGAATTCTGAAGATGGTATAAAATAGTATATATTCTGTAAGTATCAAGGAAAATATCTTCAGTCTTCAGATACTATGATACCGTGCTCTGAATAGAGGTCTTGGAACAGCGTCTAGTGTGGCTAAGAAGGCCAATATGAGAGTGACAATCCCTTCCACACTGAAGACAAATACAATCTGTCCCCTGATTTTGCTGGTTTCGGGATTGCCTCTTTGCCTTGGCCTGCTGGACAAGTGTCTCTTCAAATTGGGAGAGGCCATGCTGCACTGCCTGCCTCCAGGGTGAATCCTCAGATGTCAAGATTTCCCATCTGTTGAGGTCCATTCCTAAGGCCTTCAGATCTCGCCTGCAGATATCCTTGTACAGTGGAGTCTCGATTTACGTTCAGCTCCACTTACAAACTTTTCGATTTACAGACTTCTCCGGACACAAAGTTTCACTTTGACTTGCGGCTGGAAAATCGACCTACAGACCAGAAGGGTGAGGTGGGGAAAGCGTCAAATTCAAATTTGGCACTTTCCCCGCCTCCCACTTCCAGTCCATAGGCTGCAAGTCTAAGCCCCGAAAACCCAAAGCTGACAGCGGGTGCAGGGCGGCTTTCGGCTTCCAAAGCTGAGAGTGAGGGGAGGTGGGAAAAGCTGAACGATGCTCTGTGCCCGCTGCCTGCTTTGGGCTTTCAGGGTTTACAAAGCTGGACCCACTTTCCTCTTGTCTCCTGTCCCCGGTGCCCAGATGGCACCAGGGACAGGAGACAAGAGGCCAGTGGGTCCAGCTTTCTAAGCCTCGAAACCTGAGAGCGGGCACCGGGCGGCTTTCAGCTTCCAAAACACGGAGTGAGGGAAAGGTGGGGAAAGCTGAAAGCCGCTCTCCGCCCTGTCTCAGGTTTGGGCTAGATAATGTGCTAAATAATGTTATTGTTTTAGATAAATAAAACAATTAAAATAGTACTCCAAATATGAGTAATTAACCTATTAAAATCTGTTCTGATATAGCTGTTTTACTAATCTGACAGGTTATTGTTCTAAATATGAAATCTTCATCTGGTTGCAAATATTAATGATTATAACTACCAGGAAGAATGAGTCTTTACATTTAAAAATCACGATTTAGTCTTACTGACTAGTGATTTAAATAATGATTAAAACTGACTTAATTTAAATTAAATCCACTTTGTTTCTGACTCAGATTGCATGCCCCTAAACCTGTCTTTACTGTTAACTACAATTTACAACAGTCAACTTACAACTACAACTTACAACAATATTTACAAACTAAATATGAATAATTAAACAACAGGTCAAGATATGAATGAAGTACAGTGGGGTCTTGACTTAAGAACGGCTTGAGTTAAGAACATTTTGACTTAAGAACCACTCTCATAGGAAAATATTGACTTGACTTACATACTTAGATTTGAGTTAAGAACTTAAAAAAAACCACGTGGGAGGCAGGGAAAGTGCAAAATTTGAACTTTCAGTTAACTGTTGGCCAGTGAAAAGGGTGCCTGTCTGCTTCCTCACTCCTCCCAGCGTTTAGAGAGTGGATTGGGAGACAGTCTTCAGACTGCCTGGTACGGTACTGCCTGGACTGTATTTTCCCTGCCTTCCCTGTACCTTTCTTGACCTAAGAAAAAAAGAAACAAAATATCCCCCTCTAGTGGTCGAAGGCAGAATAGGAGCTTCCCATTAGTTTCTATGGACGGAAAAGAGCAGATACGGATCAAATGGTTTTCAATGCATTCCTATGGGAAATGCAGATTTGACCTGAGAATTTTTGACTTGAGAACCGCCTTCCAATATGGATTAAGTTCTCAAGTCAAGACCCCACTGTACAGTATAAATTTGAGAACACCAAATATATGTATCTCGAGCCTAGCTACTAGAATTCAGTACAGAAGGAAGTCCCTGACTATTAGCTAGTCGGGTTTAATTGAAATCAAGAGAAAGAAATACATCTATAAAGATGCCTAAAAACACTATTTTGTAATATGGGGACGTTTCCAGGGGTTATAAACACTGCACCCTGAAAAAAAGAAAGAAATATGTCAATTTTAAGTTATTGAGAGCAGTACTCTTTCTCTCTCATTTGTACACAATTTGCTTCAATATTTACTTTGACAATGCCATACATATTGGCTGTGCGTATTAATAACATGTACTCCTTATCACACTACTGTAATTTTTGTATTTTTATGCTGCTCTAACACACCAGTATCAGAGGCATCCAATCCTGCTCCTGTAGTTTGAAAGGGCAACTAGAATTCCTATTGCCTATAATTTACCAGTTCAAGCAAGCTACTGAGTTTCACCTTATATATTCAAACAACACATCTCCCCCAAACATCTTGCAGAATACAGTACCTATTCTTGGTTCTTTAGCATAATCAATATGATTTGTATACGGCTATACAAATAAGGGCAATGTTGGTTCTCCACTTTTAATTTTATTTATTAATATCTTTGATTTGTAGCCTGCTTTCTCCCCAGAACTGCAACCCAACAGCATTGTTTACAATACAAATTTTTAAAACTATAGTAATGTAAGACAACGAATTATAAATTTTAAAACATTACTGTAATACTAAAAATATTAAAACACTATACTAGTAAAACACAATCAGGTTAAAAATACTTGGAAACGTCTCATTTAAAGTAAAAATGAGAGCAACTGAAAAGCACATCAGTTAAAAGCTGCTGTCCTTTGCAGGCAGGCAGTTCCCAAAGGGCAAGCTCTTTGCCTTCCAGCGCAGGGGCAAGAAGGAAGGGTCCATCCAGCACCGCCTGCCTCGGAAAGGAGTCCCGCCGACTGGGCGCAGTCCCGGAGAAGGCCTCGGGATGCGCAACGGCCGGGGCCCCCTTTGAGTCACAAGAGGGACACAAAGTTCAAGCGCCCGGAGAAGGCCGGTTTTCCAGCTGGGGATAATATTGCTGTTTAGGCCGAAACAACAGAGAGAAGGGGGGGGGGAGCTGGAAAGCTGGGCAGAGATGAAGGGCACCTGGAGTCCCGACGCACTGCAGCGGCGCCCCGCGCACTCCTACCGACAGACAACACGCCTCCCTCCCTCCAGACCGGCACTTTGTGCGCCTGCGGCGTGTCCGCCTTCTGACGGTAACACAACGCGGCAGGAAAGTCTTCCGTGCGAAACCCTCCCGCTCCCCAAACACTCCGGAGGAGGAGGAAGAAGAGAACATCGCCTCCGCCCCCTCCTGCTCTGAACCCTCAAGAGGTCGCGCCCGAGGGGCTCGCCCGGCAGAGAAACCGGAGGGAGGGGAGAGCAACGGCAGCCCGAGCCCGCCAAGGCGCGCCTCTAGTGTCCGTCCAGGAAGCTCCCCAAGGGGTTCACAGACACGCCACGGGGAAGTAGGCGTTCAGACATGCCCTTCCTCCCCCTGCTTTACCTGCCGAGTTCCCCGCCGGGGCTGAGGCTGTAGCGCTCCTGGAAGGGCTCGGTGAGGAGAGGTGTCCGAAACTCCGTCAAGAGTCCTCCGCGCCGCAGCCGCTGGGGCTCCCGGCTGCCCCGGAAATGGGTCGTCCGTGGCGGCGGCGGCGGCGGCTTCTCCTCCGGACTCATGTTGAGAGGAGTCGAGAGCGGCCGGAATGCCTCTTCTGCTTCCCTCCCTCCTTCCCTCTCCTCCCCTTCTGAGGCAAAAGGGAGCGGCAGCGAAGGAGAACTAAGCCCCTCACCCTCGTGCCAGGCGCCGGTCGCGGCACGGCGCTTCTTCTACCCAGCAGCAGGGAACGGAGGGCGGCGGCGGCGGCAGCGCTGTAAAAGGAGCCGCCCGGTGCGTTCTTCCGACTGGCAGCTGGAGAGGAGCGAGAGGCGGCGGCGGCCACGCCTCCCCGCCGGGCCCCTCCCCGCTGGAGCCTCGTGCGAGGTCTCCTCACAACTCAGCCGCCTTACCTGGGTTTGGATAAGGCAGCCGGGCGCAAGACGTCGCCGCCGCCCCGAGGAGCCGAGAGCTCCGCCCTGGCGGTTGAGCAGCGCCACCTGCTGGCTGAGCTCTCAGCATACGGCTTGGGGGACGGAAGCATTTCTACGTGCGGAGCTTGAAAGACCCGCGTCTGTTTGTTAACTCCATCCCACAGCAGACCTGTTGAATCTGTTCCAGCGGCGACTAGCGTGTGGACTTTAGGCCTCGATAGCCAATAGGGCTCTGCCCACTGGAAACAATGAGATAGGGTAGTCAGGGCTCTGAGTGTTATAGCGGAGGCAGTCGTGTAGAGAAGCAGCAAACACTTAAAAAAAAGCTAAAAAACACTAACAAGCAAACGGCTAGTTATGTTATTATTACTATCATTTTTCTAGCAAGAAAGTGGAGAACTGTCTGTGGGACTTTCTGTTTCAACTGCCAGAATAACTTGGTTGGGGCCTGGACAGTGTGCGCAATAGCTGGAACCTGGACCTGTGTCTGTTTCAGGAAGCAAAATTGTAGTGGACAACCCAAAATTAGGCAAAGGAGGATTTGGCATGCTGAACAGGCATGGGATAATAGAAGTGACTGGATGCAACTCGGATGAGGATGGATAAACGGAAACTGAATCCAGACAAGACAGAGGTGCTCCTGGTCAGTTGAAAAGGCAGATCAAGGAAAAGGGATTCAGCTTCTGCTGGATGAGGTTACACAGTGTTGGAAAATACAGGGGTGCATTTTCATGATTAAAACTAGTGCACCGGCTGTGCCGTTCTTGGAGAGGTCTGGTCTGGTCATGACACATGCCTTAGTTACATCCCAACTGGATTACAGTAATGCACTCTTCATGGGACTGCCTCTGGAAAAGTGTTAGGAATCTTCAGCAGGTTTAAAATACAGTAGCCAGATTGCTAACTGGGACCACCCCCCTGTTACAGCCGTTCCACTGGCTGCCGATCTGTTTCGAAGCTGAATTCAAGGTGTTGGTTCTAACCAACAAAGCCCTAAACACCTTGGGCCAAAGCTATCTCAAGAGCTGCATCTCTCTTTATGATCCTGCTGTGTTAAGATAATCCAGAGAGGCCTTTCTCTCTGTCCCGCCACATTCACGGGTGCATTTGGTGGGGATACAGGAGCGGGCCTTCTCTGTAGCTGCTCCCAAACTTTGGAACTCCCACAGGAAGCCAGACTGGCCCCATCTTTGTTGTTCTTCTGCAAGCAGGCAAAAACCCTTCTCTTCAGTCATGCTTTCCATGACTGACTGGCTGCATGAGTGGGTTTTTTTAATGAATTGTTGTACCTTACTGTTTTGACTGTTTTAGTATTATGTTTTTAATATGGTATTTGTTTGATCCTTTTTAGTATTTGTATACTCACTGCTGTTAGCTCTAATATTTTCTATTAATGATGCTCCTTAAATAAATAAATAGTTCACATGGAAGTCAATATGAATTTCTGCCTGGAGAGGAATCGATAGACAGAAGGACCAACTTGAGCTTCCTAGAGTCTAGACTGTCCTATGCTGACCTTCCTGCAACCTACTGTAATATTTTTAGGGTTGCTAATGTCATCTCCTTCTTCTCACATTTCCTTTTTGATCCCCATCTTGCCTTTGTTCTTAACAGATGAGGGGACGGTCATAGCAACCTGGGTGTTTTTAAGAGCAAACTTAAGATCTGGCTCTTTAGGCAGGCCTTCATCACCTAGAGTGGTCGTTTTGAGCAGATAGGAGGGGTACAAATAGAATAAATAAATAAATAATCTATTCTTTGCCATCTTGAATTATTATTAATGCTGTTGTTTTTATTTTAAATTGCTTTCACTTTTATGTATTGTTGTTAGCCGCCCAGAGTATACTTCAGTCTATTGAATAAATAAAATAAATAAATAATATAAAATAAATTTCTGATGGCACATAATTGCAACTTTAACAAAACATCATAGAATCCTCAGACTTTTGTCATCCATAACTGTATGGTGGATAGAATATAACTCTGGGTTTAAATTCTTGTCCATCCATGGAATTTACTGGGTTGCTTTTAGCAACTCACTGTTTTTCAGCTTAACCGCATCTCAAAGGCTGGTTGTGAAAACAACACTGGCTTAATCCCACATATGCTGGTCCATGATCCTTAGTCCCATAGATGCTCAATATGTGCCATAAGTGCTATGAATCCTTACAACAGCCTTTCTTGCCTCTACAGGTGACAGTGAGCATCATTTTTTTTACTGTCAAGACATGGGCTGCTAATTTTGAGAGCATGTGGGGCTGTATGGTCTTTGTTAAGAAACAGATGGGTATATAAAACCTACATGGGATCTAGTAAGGATTTTTTTTTAAAAAAATACAAAAATAGGGTGTGATCTTGCTGTCACTGACAATCAGAGATCTGTCCAATCTTAACTCCATTCTGAGAATCCAATTCCCCACAGCTATCTTAATCATAATATGTTGACCAAGCCTCACTTCAGCAACCCATTCAAAATATGTGACATGGCAAAATTCTATGTTTAAGTATATCCATTTTCAAAATAAATTTTGCAATCTTTGTCCTCCAATATTAACTGAATAGCATCCTAAACACACTTTTAATATGTGGAACAAAACTTGCTTCATCTATCCACATAAACAATATAATTGTAAATATGTCTATCCAAAAGCCCCAGTGCATTCAGTGAAGGTTATTCACATGTAATTGTGGGTGAGATTACACCTCTGCAGCCCTAGCCTGTGAAAAATTACCCATTGTACTCAAGAGTACCAAGTACATAACATTATAGCCATAATGTGTTTAGAATAGGTTGAACAGGTCTGATACCCTAAATAGTCTATGTGCCTGTGCAATGGAGGAAGATTTTTATAGCTGTGTTGTACTGGGGTTCTTTTTTGCACAGTAAATAGTAGTCAGAAATAGACATGTAGTGGGACAGAAATACAGATATGTGCATGTATTTCTAGAGTTGCCTATGCTCATCTTTATAGGTTACCAGATGCCAAAGATATTATTTATGACCAAAAACAGACTTTAATGGTAGACTTTCACTAGAAAGAGAAAATCCTTATTAAAAAAATCTAAGTGTCACAGCAAGTGCTTCTATTGAGTTGCAAATCAACTTGTTTTATATGGTCTTCCATCTTTAAGCACAGGATTTTTGTTAAAAAAAGTCTAATTTTATAAACTAAATATACTGCCCTAGTCGCTTCTCTCTAACATTTACTGTACTTTCTGTTGTAATTATGGCCTATGTCTGATATCTGCTTTTGACCTACCTTCTAGAGTTTTAGTGGACAACATTTCAACAGGCAATTTTTCTCATCAAGGCATAACAATCTCCACCTACCAAATTTTTCATTTACTAAGCCCTTCTCTTCATATGGTCACCTTACATGTCACTGAACAAGAAGATTTGTGTAGTAGAAACACAAGAAATCAATTTGTGCAGGTGTTGGTAGAAAAACAGAGGCTATCACTGAACAACATAAAGGTGGTTGTTGTGTGGCTAGGCAGCTAGAAAGTTCAGCCACTGCAAAACCATACTGTCTTACCTCTTTTCCTTGCACTGTGAGTTCAACTTTTAAGTCCAAGCACAAATTTGCTTGTTTAGACATTAGTCAGTAGTACACTGGCATAGATTTCTTTCCTGCAAATTTTTCTTTTAATTTAGGCAGGGGTGGGCAAAGATACTGGACTACAGTTCCCATCAACACTACTTGACAAAGTCAGCAGGGAGTTAGGTTTAACAACAACTGGAGGGATTGGCCACCCTGATTGAGAAGACACTAGTATTTGTTTTCAAATAGCATTAGCTAATGTTTGGGCTAGTTGCATTAGTCTTTTGGAGTTGTAGCCTGATGTTTTGCGGATTCAGTGTTTTCAGTGAGACACTATTGGCCTGCAAGCCATGGACAAAGCTGTGGAGTGAAGGACAATGGCCTCTAGTGTTTTGTCTAGGAAAATGTCCTCTTTATGTTGTGTATGCACTGATGTTAAAGCCTGATTTTGGAGCTGCTTTGGTGAAGCTAACAGAGCATTTTGCATAGTTTTTAATCCTGGCTCCTTTAAGGACTTGCTATAACCTGCAAGGGTTTTTTAAAATGTGCTGTCAAGTGCATTCAGAACTATGATGACTTTTCAAGGGTTTTCTGGGTATGGCATACTCAGAAGTGGCTTTTGTAGGGTCATGAAATGAGAAGGCTGATAGGTTAGGGTGATCACCAGATAATTAGGATAGCAAATAGTCTTAGAGAGAGAGAGTTAAAGAAGTCAACCACACACACAGGGATGTCTGCCAGCAGTGCTCCTGAGGGGCGACTAGTAGAAGAGGACCTTAAATAAGACTGCTCTGCCCCCAGGAGGACTGTGTTTTATTAACCGTACAAGCTCACAAATAGTTGACAGAGTTCAGATAGGACAATGGTTACATAATGCCATCAGGATTGGCCCAAGGAAAGGCTTTTGAAGTTAGCTCCCTAGCATTATGAGAAAGTAGAAGAATGGGTAGTAGCTCCTCCTCACGAAAGCAGCTGTGACGTCATCCAGGAGAGTTTGCTCTACTACTGTAGAATCAGCCAATAGCTTTGCAACTTTGGGGAGGGGCATTCGCCCACCATTTTCCATTCCCTTTTCCTGGGAATATCCAGAGATTGCAACTTACCCAAGGATAGCTTTTCTGGGACCAATAGCTTTCCCTTACAGACGGCTTGACTTACAGACTTTTTGAGTTACAGACTTCTCTGGCCGCAAAATTTAGGTTTGACTTGCAGACTGAGAATTGACTTACATACCAGAAAAAAACCAAACTGGAACAAAAACGGCCTGTTACGGGATTAATCGGTTTTCAATGCACTGTAGGTCAATGGAGACTTGACTTACAGACTTTTTGACTTGAGAACCGCCTTCCAATACGGATTAAGTTCTCAAGTCAAGACCCCACTGTACAGTGAGGAAATGAGCTCCCAGTCTCTGGCTCTATAGCCAGATATTCAACTCACAGAGCTATCCAACAAACCTGCAAGTAGGTAGCCTGAGATATTTCAAGGAAAAATTAGTTCCCGATTGAACTTGCCATCACCCAGTGTTGCTGTCTTATATGACTTGTCAGATCCTAACTACAATAATAATTTTCACCCTAAATTGTGATACTGATTTATTCTCCAGTCTTCCCTAAAAACACTGGTACGTTTCCACTGGTGGATTGATGACTGATAATCATCTTCATCTTTGTCACTGCCACTTTTATAGTTTTATATTCTATAGAATTATAATGCATGGCATATTTAAAGCTTCTTCCTTGCAGTTCTTTTTAGCTAGAGATAATGAAAGTGCTATGCAAACTTGCAGTGAAGCATGCACTTTGATCCAACATGAGGAATCACACACACAAATGGGGTGGGCTTTGCATGCACAAAGGCACAATTCTTCCTCCCTCCATTATTTCAGGCCTTGTGAATATTCTTCATCTCTGATCAGCTGGGAGGCAGAGACAGCAGTGCTACAGGCATTTAACAGCAATGATTTTGAAATATTTATAGGTCTTTGGAGACGTAATACAACTAATACATTTCTATGGGAATCCTATGGGAATCCTATATATAACATTCACTTCCATGATAAAAGTAGAATATACTACATAGAGACAAATACATGAAAAGGCAGATGGTAAAGGTAAAGGTTCCCCTTGACAATTTTTGTCCAGTCGTGTTTGACTCTAGGGGGCAGTGCTCATCCCCGTTTCCAAGCCATAGAGCCAGTGTTTGTCCAGAGACAATCTTCCGTGGTCACATGGCCAGTGCGACTTAGACACGGAACGCTGTTACCTTCCCACCGAGGTGGTCCCTATTAATCTACTTGCATTTGCATGCTTTCGAACCGCTAGGTTGGCGGGAGCTGGGACAAGTGACGGGCGCTCACTCCGTCATGTGGATTCGATCTTACGACTGTTTGGTCTTCTGACCCTGCAGCACAGGCTTCTGTGGTTTAGCCCACAGCGCCACCACGTCCCCTGAAAAGGCAGATGACTGAATTATAAAACAATATTTTCCCTATCTAAAGGTCTTTGGAAGGAGTCCTTTGTTCTCCCTTTCCTGAACAGAAAATGGGCAGCACTGAAAACTATCCAAAAAGAGTTGTATGTCACAACCCAGTTTCTGGACTTTTGTGAATTGGAAAATGTGATGTACCCTTCAGGTGATCACCCTGTTTCCTCTTACTATATTTGGGTGAATCGTTTTGGACTACTTGATTAATTACATCCATTTCCAAATATTGACCTTATGGGTTAATTTCATAGACAATACTGTATTTCATTTTCTTGTCACTCCACTGATATGTACATATCAGGTTTAGTTTTTAGGCAAATTGACACTCAGTCCATCCACTGCTGTAACTTGCTTTGGGTAATGTTTACTTGTGAAATAAGTCCTGCATTGAACCTGGGGCAAGCCAGACAAACAAGACAGAGTTTAAAAACAAGGCCATCACAGGCCTGACCTAAAACACTTTATGCATACTATCACATATTCACACTCCATCAAAATATCACTCAATTCTTCTGTTTTCCATTAGCTGTAACAGTAAGAGAAACATGTCAGAACATGCAAGACATTAGCAACATGGATCCAGTCACAGGGTGTAGAACAATCTTCATTTATAGAACAAGGTACAGGAAATAAAGTATGGATAACCACATCACCTTTTGCCATAACAAAGAAATTTTATTGACATTCCTTTACAGTGATATGATTGAATAGAAAGCACAGCCTGAGTATCATGTGACATTTTCCTGTCAATAAAAGCAAAATCAGCCCAATAATGAGGACCTTTCCTGCCACTGACTTGTATGAAGTCTTTAATGACACCATAATAGACACTTGGTTTTAGGTAAACTGGAAGCTGCAGGGAATTCAGCTAATGCTTCAATACCAACTCTACCTAGTATCTACTATCTACAGGATTGGTTGATTAAATTGAAGGAACTATGACTACTAGGGGAAAAAATAATCATACAACATTTTTGGAACTTGAAAAAGCTGTCTGAGATTTGTGGCATATTATTTATCAATTTTTAAACACTGAGGTGCAGCAACAAGAATACTTATAAAAGCACCATCTTTAAAACTGAAAAGTTTGGTGCTGTATGTTTGATTAAACAAGTTGGATCTTTGCTCAAGATTCTTTCCTGAAACATTGCAGCAGACCTAAGATTGAATTCAGGGCAGGTGACTCACTTAAGAATAATACAGAATTCTAAAGTCATATTCATTATACTGAAATTCATCCAATAAAATGTGATTATTTTCTAGCAACCAGACACAGGGGAATATGGAAAACAATTGTATTGATTGCAACAGAATTTCTTGCCAAATAAGTGTGGTCATGACCACAATGTTAGATCTTAACATGTTTGCTTAGAAATGACATTTCCCCAAATCAGTACATGACATTTGCAAATTAATATGTTCTGGATTAAACATCTAGCTGCATGCTGGCACAATGTCAACATTTTGTTGAAATCTGCGGAAATAAAAATAATCAATCTGCTTGTGAACTTCAGATTTGGTCCCCATTACCAGAAGATTGTTTGCACGTATGAAATTGAAATGGTGAATTTTTAAATAGATGAAAGAAAGAAAGAAAGAAAGAAAGAAAGAAAGAAAGAAAGAAAGAAAGAAAGAAAGAAAGAAAGAAAAAGGGAAAGCATGCTGCTTAAAGCGGTGGTCCCCAACCAAGTCCAGATGTTCTTGGACTTCAGCTCCCAGAAATCCTGGCCAGCAGAGGTGCTGGTGAAGGCTTCTGGGAGTTGTAGTCCAAGAACATCTAGAGGCCCACGGTTGGGAACTACCGGTTTAAAGCACTCTCTGGGCAGTTTACTGTTGCAGGTTACACACTGCCCCTCCCCCAGCAAGCTGGGTGCTCATTTTACTGACTTTGGAAGGATAGAAGGCTGAGTCAACCTTGAGCCAGCTACCTGGGATTGAACCCTGGGTTGTCAGCACAGTTTTGGCTTCAGTACAGCAGTTTAACCACTGTGCCACAATTTTGTAGTTCAAAACTGGATGATGCCATACTGAAGTCAAACCTAAAAAGTGTTACAAAATTAAAAATGACTGGGTACCATGAGATTATAGCCAAAGTGAATGGAGACAGTAATGAGGAGTAATAAGGGCAGTGTTTACCATAGATGAGAATAAGGTTTCAGCTCTTTTAAGATAAAGTGGTTGTTTTTAATTTAAACTCATGTTTGTTCTGAGACTTGGAAGTCTTTGACCAAACTATTGCATTACACCTCCTAATCAAGGTAGTGTGTTTCTCACTGCTTGTGATGTTGTTTGCATGCAATCTCAGTAGTGTGAAAGTCACTTTGTGTTGCCCATTCAAAAGGTTAGGACAATTGTTGAATGGAAAGACATGTGAAATTGAACATATCCCTGTGGTTGCTTTATCTGTTGCTGCTCCTAAACATAGTGAGATGGCACCACAGAAGGACTTTTCAATGCAATCACTCCAGATTGTGACCAAAAGGGAAAAAAAGTCTTTGGTACATCCCATATATTTCACAAAACATTTAAGATTTCTTCCAAAATTTCTAAAATATAATTATTTTAATCCCCAAATTTAAAGAATTTTCCCTTCTACTCTTTATTCTCTTGCATATCAGTGTCTGTGTAGTAAGCACTATACTATGACAGCTCAGAAACAGATATTAATCAATTGTTCAAATGAAATATGAGTTTTATAACATGGTGATGAACTAATAGAAGAGAAGCAGAAAACATCTGGCCTCTCATGTTTTGGTCTACAATTCCTATCAGCTCCACAACCACGGGCAATGGCAAGAGACTGTAGGGGTTGTAGTACAAAACATAAGGAGTGTCAAATATTCAAATTTCTTGTTATAGAAGTCAGTGCTACAGAAGGATGAAAAGTAGTTTTATATTAGTGCCATCACAAATCAGTGATATGAAAAAATGCTTTCCAATGTAGGATGTTTACATTTTTGCTTTTGCCTGAGATTTAAAGAACAAAAACTGTATGTATTGTCCTATAATGGAAGAAATTTGAAGTCACCTTTACTCTGTTTCAATTCCCATGACATGGATGGCACCAGAGCAGACCTGGGTAGTGGTTCCAGGAACATGTTTCTCTTCCTTCGGGTTTCTTCATTTCACTGGATATATAAATATTTCCTGGCACTACAGTAAAGTTTAATATTCATAAAATATAGCTTTTAAAGACTTTTAAAAATTCCAGCATTATAAAGAGTACTTTTTTAAATTAGTAAGATATGCTGCTATAATTTGGCTCATATAGAATTAACCAGTTAGATAGTTGTGCCTTCACTCATTTGCTTGCATTCCATTTTTTAAGTGGCAACACATCATCTCAAAAAATTTGTTTATGTCTTTGTAATGGCATGGATTGTAATCTTTTATAAATGAACATACTTAATATGCAATTATTCCTATGGGATTTTGTGCACAGAAGATTGAAAATAATGTACATTGCATTACTCCTTTTAAGGCAACCTTCAGAGTAGTAAGGTAAAGGTAAAGGTTTCCCTTGACATTTAGTCCAGTCGTGTCTGACTCTAGGGCGCGGTGCTCATCTCCGTTTCCAAGCCATAGAGCCAGCGTTTGTCTGAAGACAGTTTCCGTGGTCATGTCAGGGTGACTAGACATGGAACGCTGTTACCTTCCCACCGAGGCTGAACCTATTTATCTACTCACATTTTTACATGCTTTCGAACGGCTAGGTTGGCAAGAGCTGGGACAAGAGACGGGAGCTCACTCTGTCATGTGTATTCGATCTTACGACTGCTGGTCTCCTGACCTTGCAGCACAGAGGCTTCTGCGGTTTAACCCGCAGCACCACCATGTCCCTTTCAGAATAGTGGAGTCCTCAATAAATATCATGTATGACCTGTTCAAAACCTGTGTGATTTTTCCCCATTTCTTTCAACACATTTTTGAACGAAGTTCTATCGGAATGAGCAAAGGCGAGGCCATATATGAAAGTCACCAGCAAACTTTCCTGTAGCAGTGATTTTGCCTATAATAGAGTGTTTGCTTTAAAAAAAAGCCTATTAAATGCAGTTCATATTAATAAAATTGTGCCTTATGAATTGATTCCAAATTATCTGGTTTAAGTGAAATTGATATTTCATTATAAAATGCTTATTTAACGTAATATAATTTAAAGCAAAAAAAGTTAACTAGAGAAAATATTTTCATCACACTTGCTGAGTTTTTTTAAAGCTATCTTTCGTTAGTTTTGTTCTTTCAGACCAAGGGATATACAGAGTTTGATAGTGATGGCTGGGCAAACTTTTAGCTATGTTCTTTCCCTTTCAAGAACAGATTTATTCAGGCTGTTTTTTCATACTGGCTAGAACCAAAGGCTCTGCCTCAGATACTTATTCAACAGCTCATTATCCAAATTAGTTCCCCAAAATAAAATTTTGTTAATTAAGGTATGACTTATATTTTTCATTTAAGTCTGCATACAATACTGATTTCTTAAATAAAGACATAAAAGCACAGTTTAATCATAGGGTATGATTCAGCCAGAGAAGCACTTTTATATTTAACTGAATTAGAAGGACGAGAAGTAAGCTTGTGCTTAAATCTCTCCTGCTGAAACATGGAAGCTGAACATTCTTAATGTTAGCTGGATGAGCCTTTACATTTTCGGGAAGGATTCCACCTTTGTTTGTGTCAGGGACCATTCTGAAAATGTTTCCTGCCTGAAAGGATATTTGGTTTTGTAAGAAGAAACTAATCTTATTGACAGGTGCCATACAGCTATATATTTTTTGAATTCATTGGGGCTTTACTGATCAGTCCCCTTGACCTGAAAAGCATGGCTGTGCCAAAAAAGAGAGGGGAACATGGGATCAGGATAACCTTTCAGGATTCCAGCATACTGTCCAATCCCTTCAATGCACGATAGTTTTAAGTTCCTTTGCCATGGTGACACAAAAGATTAATCGAGCACAAGCCTACACCTAACCAGGTACACTTCCAATGGCTAAGTAAGAAGTGAATAGGTCTGCTTTCACATGTAACATTTAATTGATCATTGTTTCATAGTCAGTTGCTAAATGATAATTTGACCACATATACAATTATTGATGCCATCTCAATTAATGTAAGATATGTCTGTAGAAATTATCTTCTATCTGGTAAAGACAAAAAACAAAAATATGTAGTCCAATCCTATGCATACTTATTTAGAAGCAAAAATTCACTGAGTTCAATAAATTTTGCTTCCAAATAGGTGCATTAAACAATTAGAACGAGGGTCAAGAAAAGAAGCATTATTATGCAGTTGATTGCTCTCTCTCTAATTTGTTTCAGCAGTGCTCATCAAACTATTCACATTTCAGTGTGTTTTGCTGTCATGATTTTTGTGATGGGAAGCAAAGGCCACAAAGCCAAGTCATTTGTTGTTTCCCCTAGTCACAAAAAGACCAGACTGTTCAGTTCATTAATACCTAGCAAGCTAGGTGGAACAATGGGAATTTAGGAACAACATTCAAATGTTTGACAGCTATTCACAATGTAGATAAAGCTCTTGTTTCAGTGCCATCATTCTCTGCAGCTTCACACATAATTGAACTTTGGCTAAATACTGGGCAGAACTGATTCTATAATTATGGAGTATTTGAGATCCAAAAGAAATGAAACAAAATTACAACTCTGTCAATCAACATATCTTAAGTAATCAGTGGCTTCCAATACACAGTGCAGGATTGTCTATATATCTTTTCTGTAAAGAGATTTTAAACATAGAAAACAAAGAACTGGTAAGTTGGACCAGAAATTATTAAGAAAGGAAAGTTTTTCCAGTTATTTTTGCTATGTACAATAATTGGGAAAGGTGGTGGTGTCTGTTATGCTACATAATAAGACATCTTTCTCGTGTGCACAAATATGTGCTTCTTGTGTATTCTTATTACAATAAACTTTACCTCCCAACATTCTTCAGTAGATCTGATATGCAAGTTATTTCCAGCAACAAGAGTTAACAATCATTGACACGCTGCATTGCATTACAAGATTGTTCCATTTCCTTTTCAATGTTGTATCTGCACCATAAGTCTGGCCCAGCTCCAGCTCTTGTAGTAAATTTGGATTATGAGTTCACGTATAAAAATTCAGTTTTTTTAATAGGCAGCTTTCACCTATGTGCAATGGGTACAAGAAAATCAAGATGAATGAAGGAGATTCTTGACTAGCTCCAATAGTGGACACAGCTTTTAAGACGCAGGACAAATTGTGGATTTAATTCAGAAGAGATGGGCATATAAAAGCCTGGGATTCTTGATGAGTTATTTGTTTTGTCTTTATCAATGTAGGTAAAAGTAAACATTTATTAACATTTGGTCAAGTGTAGCACAACTTGCATTCATCTTTTCATTGTTGCTAATGGAGGTATGTGGAGATACACAGAGACCTTGAGACTGTTTTTATATTGCATACAGGCTAGTTGTCCATTGAAAACAAAAGATGAAAGCATGAAGGTTAGTTCTTAAAGGAAGGCTGTTCTTCATGCACAGCATTTATCAGTCCTGATCCCCGCCCACCCCAGAATTAAAAACACAGAAAAACCAAATCATATGGCAGCAGGGAAAGGAGTGATGTCACTGACCAGGAGAACACTTGAAAAGTCTGAATATTCTCATTCAAGTCCAAAGGTACTAGTTTCTTCAACAGCCGTCAACAGCTTTTCATATAGCATAGAATATGATGGGTAGGGTGGAAGATCCAAGCGATTGAAACAAGTATGTGCCCTGCAAAATGAAGATACCATATGTACATTTAGGAGTATTCAAAATCTTGGCAGAAATATTAAGCATGTGCATATGCTACCTATCTGAGCTGCCAAGCAGAGTAAGGCTGAAGCCACACATTTAGAGACAAGAGGATTTTCTGAATCTGCATTGGCCAGTGCTCTGTAAAATAGGGCTGAGAAGAGAACAAGATATGTAAGAGGAACAGGACTGTGTGCTTAATTCTCACTATATAATTCTCACTCGCTGGGTATTTTCAAAAAGCAACTAAAAACATTACTACTACTACTACTACTACTACTACTACTACTACTACTACTACTACTACTACTAGTAGTAGTAGTAGTAGTAGTAGTAGTAGTAGTAGTAGTAGTAGTAGTGGTCGCAATGACCAGATAGGCGGGGTATAAATGGAATAAATAAATAAATAAATAGATAAATAAATACATTATTTTCTCATTGCATCTGAGTCATGCATTCCTGCATTGGTTCCATCCTGTGGTTTTTCTCCACACGATCAGCAAGCACATTTGAGAGTCCTGGCTGAGGGAGAAACAGCTGGAGGAAAGACCATCAGGTGGGCCAAGAGTTAAGCTGACAGTTCAGCACCTATATCATCTGTTCCACCACCTTGCCTTTTAGCTATTTTGATGTTGTTTTTTGTGTATGTGGACTGATATTTTTAATTTTGGTTTTTCATATAGCCATTATGTTTAGTGCCTTTTAAAGTGTTGTTTTATTGCGTTGTGAACCACCCAGAGTGGCCTTGGTAGCCAGATGGACAGTATAGAAGTTGAATGAATGAATGAATGAAGCAACTCTCTTGCCAGTTACTACTTCTCGCTGTCCCCATGTGTCACCTCCACTGCTTCTTTGCTTGCCATAAAGTTTGGGCATCCTATATGTGCCATCTGGATGAGCACTTCCTAATACAAATAGTCAAATGATATGGTGACACAGTTACCATCTCTCAAAGTAGTGAGATGGTCCAAGACAATGTTCCCTCTAAGCTGCTCGCATGCATGGGCCTGCAGAGCTCCATCGGCGCTGCACAGTGGCAACTGGGGTTGATGCCTGTTTACTTCCAGGTTTCAGATGAAACTCGGCCCCTCAACTGCAGATGAGTAAGGCTCCTGAGCAGTGGGAATGACAATTAGAGGGAACGTTGGTCCAGGGTCACTTCCACCAGGTCAGAGCTTAGAACCTTATCTTTATAAATGTAGAGAATGAGGCATAATCATTATTCTCCATTATTTTAAATGTGTTGCACTTCTCTTATTACTACTATTTCTTACTGTTATTATTGCTAGTTACACACGCTACAACTAGGAAAATTGGCCCCAAATCCCTGAAAATGACCCCCCAAAAGATGTTTTAGAAATATATTGCTTTTTAAACTATTCTTACTGTTATTATTGCTAGTTACACACACTACAACTAGGAAAATTGGTCCCAAATCCCTGAAAATGACCCCCCCAAAAGATGTTTTAGAAATAAATATTGCTTTTTAAACTGAACAAAGGTAATGGCCTTAGTTGTCATTATACCTTAAAAAATAACAACAACAACAAAAAACACACAGAAAAAACATTGGCTGTTACTCCCAATGGTAACATGCTACAGGCAATATCAGTCATACCACATAACTTCCAATGTCTATAGCAAGTTTTATTTCCTATGGATAAGAGACTGGAAGGCAAACATATTTTTAGAGGGTTACAGATTTAGCAACCTGAATCTGATCTCCACCACAAGATCCTGCCATCTTGGATCCTTTACCTTCAAATAATTCATAGCTTCCTTTGTTCCTATCTGGCAACTCCTTCTTTCTATCTATTAGACATTCTCCATGGAATCTTTAATAAAAGAGCTGTACTTCCCCAGCAGCAGTACCTGTGGGGAGTATAGTCTCTTGACCATCCCCCTTCCACCTAAAAACTGCTGACCACCATCAGCTGAGCCAGATAGGTAGACAGGTTTTAGAGTGGAGAGTAGAGCCTAAATTCCCTAGAAGAAATATGGGAGACAAAGGTGATACTTAGCTAGATAGATACAGACAACATACTATACCATCATCTCTACTAGGACACCACTTTTTGTAAAGCAGAATCTCTGCCTAATATTACTGGAGGCCCTTTCTTTCCTTGGAATACTTTCAGTTTGATTTCTATATTACTTTCAGTCTCTGTTTTCTGTGACATAGGGAGGGTATTTAAAGGATATCCTTTTAATGGAATAGTCAGTATGACAGATCACCACATCTACAGTACACTAACAGGAATTCCTAGTGATTTTTTTTTCTATTGCAGGTTTGTGAGTGACCAGACATCTGCAAAAAATATATAAGTTTCACATCGTATGATCAGTCATTTCACAGTTAACATAAGGCTGATCCAAGTTAGAGTTGCATTTTATAAAACCTTAAAATCATTTCATATTTTGCAAATTGTATAAATGGAAATCAAGTATCACCAAATAAAGTTTTGGAATTAATCTTAGCAAAAACATTTATGAGTTTACTTAAGACAACAGCATACCTTGGAAGTGATGTTATTTTACCCCATTTCTCTATACAGAAGCGGCGTAGACCATTGCTTCCCCGAAGGGCTGCAAAGCCCTCATACGGCACGCTAGAGGTCCCAGTGACAAACTGCAGCAACCGGAGTCTTTGCTCATTGTTGAATCGTTCTACTGCTGCCCAAAACCACCGTATTACGATATGCCCATCATGGTAACCTAAAACAGAAAGTAAGTAAAAGAGGAATGGATTAGAAACAATCAGAGAGAAACTATGAATGGTGATGATTACAAATGACAGTAGCATGGTTATCTGCCTTCTTTCTTTCTTTGTTTTGTCTTTAGCTAACAGTGTAATTTAATGGGCTCAAGCTCTATCAACCTCCCTCCCTCTCACCTCCCTTTCCTTTCTTCTAGGAGCACTCTGTCCATGAATATTCTGTGCCACAGAACACCTGTCTGGCACAGAATCCTCACACATTTTGAAGGATTCTGACTTGGGTGTAAAATGATTTTAGCTCACCAGCAGTTTGTGAGTGATGGATCTGGAGTGATCTGGAACATGGAGAGACCTGTGAGCTAGAGCCTTCAAGGCCCATATCATCTCACTTGTAGCCAAATGAGGGCTCATGGGTGTTGCAGTGCAAAGCTGCTACAAACCAAATTATGTTATAATCTGCCTCTGTCAGAGTTCAGTGAGAATTTCTAGCAGCAAGATATGAATAAGGACATATGAAATGGAAGATGGTAAGGAAAAGCAACTGCATAGTTTACCACCCCGATATTCTGTATTGTTGCGCCAGTCATTAAGGTCTATTTCCGCAGTGCCAGCGATGACCAATTCTAATTCTCTAGCATCAAATACAGAGACAAGCCTTGAGTCTACAACCTGAAAAAAATAACACAGCAATAAAACACCAGCAGTCTTAGCAAACAAGAACAAACAAAACCTGGCCGAATTTGCTTTCTTACGTAGCTTTAAATATAAATACAGTGGCAGGTATCTGCCAAATACATTATTAGTAGCAGGGGCATGAAGTACATTCTTCCAATATAAATTGTGCATTTTTGATATATATTTATTGATCAGGTTTGTGTCTTTTTGCATGATTTTTTATATACAACTCTCTCTCCAACAATATTATCATTGCACCTAGCTTGTGCATTCCATTCTCTAGCATCAGCACTTTATATGGTAAGGTGGACCACACACTGCTAAATCATATTAGAGACTGCTTGGCATTAACACTATTTTATTTATTTATTTATTTATTTATTTATTTATTTATTTATTTATTTATTTATTTATTTATTTATTTATTTATTTATTTATTTATTTATTTATTTATTTTTCTTTTCTTTCTCCTAAGAAAGGACTCAAGGCAGGTTACATCATTAAAACACAATATTAAAGCTAAAAAACAGATAATTAGTCAAATAGTAAATGAACTAATGACATCAGAATGTTAAAGCATTAGTAAAAGAGAATTAGAAACAACAAAATGCAAACATCTCATTTTAAAACCTTTCCTAGGCAGTCTGTCACTAAGGAAAAGCCTGCCTGCAGCAAAAGCTCTTTATCTGCTTGCAGAAGCATAGATGGGGCCAGCCTGGCCTCCTCTGGGGAGGGAGTTCCAGAGTCTGGGATCAACGACAGAGAAGGCCCTTTCCCTTGTCCCCACCAAACACACTTGTGAGGGTGGTGAGACTGAGAGAAAGGCCTCCCCTAATAGTCTTAACACCTGGGCAGGCGCATAAAGGGAGACACAGCCCTTGAGATAACTTGGACCCAAGCCTTTTAGGGCTTTATAGGCTAGAACCAGCACTTCAAATTGTGGCCAGAAATGGACTGGTAGCCAAGGGAGTTGCTGTAACAGGAGGATTATGTGATCCCTGTAATTAACAATCTGGCTGCAGCATTTTCGACACGCTGAAGCTTCTGAGCACTTTCCAAAGAAAGCCCCACATAGAAGTATTATAGTGATTAACCAGAATGTAACTAAGACAGGTATCACTGTGGCCAGGTCAGACCTCTCCAGGAATGGGTGCAGCTGGCATACTAGTTTTAATTGTGCAAAGGAACTCCTGGCCACCACTGTAACCTGGGCATCCAGGCTCAAAGATGAATCCAGGAGTACACTTAAACTGCACACCCAGGTTTTCAGAGGGAGTGTAACCCCATCCAGTATAGGCTGGGTCGCTATTCCTTGAGCTGCCTTTAAACCGACCAAGAGCACCTCTGTCTTGTCTAGATTAATTTTCAGTTTATTCACCCTCATCCAGTTCATTCCTGGCAAGAGTCCAATAGACATACAGACGTCTTCACCTCTCCAAGGCTGTTGACTAGAGATGAGGACAAACCCCATGAATTGCCCCAGGGATTTCTGATGAACCAGGAATCAGATCATTGTTGTTGTTTTTCTTTTCATTTTCTTTTTAAAGACAGCCTGTGGCATTTTTTGTCTGGCCAGAATGTAGAGTGATTTTTAAAAATGTAATTGGGTTGCCATTGTCTCAGTGTCTCTTGGGAAGCTGAATCTGCCAAACATTGATACTTACTTCATAGAAGCCACGGACCAAGGCCTCTGTCTGCTGAACAACACCTCTTTCTACTCGCCACTTCACCATCCTTTCAATATATTCCTTCTTATTCTTTTCAGTCACCTGTGTATTTGCACCCCCAGATTATTTCTCCCTTTCTGTTACCTAGGAAACAAATCAGTCAACAACAACAATATTAATATTGGGCAGCAGCACAAACTAACCATAGGAACAAGTGTTTCAAAACTGTGATACTGATGAGCGAGAGTATATGTTACTAGCAAATGAGCAAGCCTATAATAATGTTTTATCTTAAAGTTTATTTTTTATATCAAAATTGAAAATTGCAGCAAAACTTTTGAAAAGATGTTTTGTAAAGTGACTTTGTCAGCTGCTATAACAGAAAGGGAAAATACCTGCTTGGGCAGGAAAGGCGTGGGGTACAAATCCATGAAACTCACTCGGTACCCTGGAAACCATTCAACTTAGCATAATAGCTTATCAGGTTTGTCATGAAGATAAAATGGGAGGGGCCATCCAAAGCACTTCAGAGGAAGTTGATATAAAAGTGGTAGATGTATAATGGTAAATGCTATGTACAATATTCAAGTTTGATACTCATGTATAAAAATTATAAACAAAAAACCTTTATACCAGCGGTCCCCAAACTTTTCCCAACTGCGGACTAGTTGGGGGGGGGGTCTGTGCACATGGGGGTGTGGCATGCTCATGTGGGCCTGCACCAATGGGAGCTGTTGGGAGGCAGAGCCAGAGAAACCAGGAGGTAGGGGTGAGTCAGAGTCTAGTCAGTTCAGTCAGAGACAGAGTTTGGAAAAAACAGTTTGGGGTTTGAGGCAGAGAGAGTGTTTAAGGAGTGATTAGTCAGAGTGTAACCTGTATTAAGAGAGAAAAGGTTAAAGTAAAATACTGAAGCTTGGTGTAACTTTAAGAATGTGCTTAAGAACTTTTCCTAAAACAACTTGTAATCAATAAACCTGTTTCTGTTTAAAAGTTCAGTACTGAATGGGCCTCAGTCTTTCATAGGAAAGAGATCAACTGGTGGCAGTGTGTTAAAGGGTGTGTTAGGATACTCATGTGAACTCTATATTTGGTGAAATAAGCAGGGGCCACGGGGTAAACGTCACAGTCCCCAACCTTTTCCCATATGAGGACTAGTTGGGGGGATGCGGTCCGTGTGCATGGGGGCATGGCATGCTCACGCGGGGCAGGGTGTGCTTGTGGGGGACACTCATGAGGAGGCACGAGATCTGTGTCAGCGGCCTGGTCCTGCCTAGGCCACAGACCAGTGCCAGGTCGCGGAACGAGGGTTGGGGATCCCTGCTTTATACCACAGATAGGAGAATCATTGTACAGTGGGGTCTTGACTTAAGAACGACTTGAGTTAAGAACATTTTGACTTAAGAACTGCTCTCATAGGAAAATATTGACTTGACTTAAGTACTTAGATTTGATTTAAGAACTGAAAAAAACCCACGTGGGAGGCAGGGAAAGTGCAAAATTTGAACTTTCGGTTAACTGTTGGCCAGTGAAAAGGGTGCCTGTCTGCTTCCTCACTCCTCCCAGCGTTTAGAGAGTGGATTGGGAGACAGTCTTCAGACTGCCTGGTACTGCCTGGACTGTATTTTCCCTGCCTTCCCTGAACCTTTCTTGACCTAAGAAAAAAAGAAACAAAATATCCCCCCTCTAGTGGTCGAAGGCGGAATAGCAGCTTCCCATTAGTTTCTATGGACGGAAAAGAGCAGATACGGATCAAATGGTTTTCAATGCATTCCTACGGGAAATGCAGATTTGACTTGAGAACTTTTTGACTTGAGAACCGCCTTCCAATACGGATTAATTTCTCAAGTCAGGACCCCACTGTAATGCTTTCATGCTGATACACTTCATCAAGTTACAAGTAAATTTAAAAACAATGTGTCTTTCATCTCTATATTTGTGTCCATCTGAGCTGGGTTTCCAATATGTAATACACTTGTCATGGGGGTTATCCGATTCAGCAAATGACTGTACAGTAGTTTGACAATATTTTATTTATTACTGCCAACTGAAAACTGACCTCTCAAATATCGTAGACTCTTGACACCAAACAAGCAGTACAGCATGCTAAAGAAAGCATCCACGAGGGAAAACTATTTGTTTGGCTTTTATTTGTCTTAAATTGACTGTCCCTGGGGGTTTAACGAAATTCCTAATCCCAACTGTACTAGAGGCAGGCCATGCAATTTGGCAGTCTTCCCTTCCTCAGCTAAAAAGAGTTTCAAAAAGGAAGAAAGGAAGAAGGGGGGGGGAGCAGATTGCCTGTGAGTGTTTTAAGAGTTGGCCCACAATTTCCAAACTGCTAGCTAAGGAGTAGCTCGAAACAAACCTTGCAACTGCAGCTCTCTCCATCTAAGAAGCGAATCTGGCCTGAACATCACCAGCCATGCAAATTTGGGACATTAGTAACAGACATAAGTTTGGAACAACCCACAAGAACTTGATGCACAGCCTTGAAGAAGAAGATTTATCATTGAAAGCTTGATGTTTGTTTTTCGGGGGTTTTGTTTTATATTCCCTTTTCTCTTTTTTTAATCAAAATTTTCATACATTTCCTATATATCAACGAATAGTCCATTTACATAGCTTATATAGCCTTATTTTAACATCTACATTATACATATTACTCTAAGCAGTACCATATCTTAGTTTTTGTTAACATTTAGAATGTGAATTCTACTTGTTCTACATATTACTTTTTGCAAACTTGGTTCTATACACTTCTAATGATTTACAGTAGTCAAAATAATTACTGCCCTTTATAAAAATTTCTAACTGATCTTCTGTTTACATAATACATGAGTTTTGCCACTGTGGCATATTCAAGCATTTTATCTCTCCAATCTTCTTTTGTCAGCCATGTCTCCTTTTCCCACTTTATTGCCATTACCACCCTAGCCGCCATCAACATGTAATTATTGTGAAGATGTGGTGTTATTGCCAAGAGCATGGTTTCATTCCAAATCCAACTATCAGGATTTTTTGCATTTCAGAATGAATGTCTTCCAAGAATTTCTTTGTCTTTTTGCAAGTCCACCACATGTGGTAGTATGAGCCTTCAGCTTCTTGGCACTTCCAACAGAGACCCAAATAGCTTTTCTCCATATTTTTATGCCTTTCAGGGTTACATACCATTGACAATACATTTTATACCAGTTTTCTTGCAGTGAATTATATATATTTTTTGTCCATAGTCTTTTCTATTGTTGGAAGGTTGTCACTTCCCCTAGATTCTGCATCCATTTTAACATACTGATTTTAACTGGCTCCATTTTTGTTTCAAATTGAAGTTAATAGTTTGTATATATGTCCTAATACGTAGCTGCTTGGTTTTTTCGTAGCTATTCTCTCAAACTCTGTTAATTTTCTTAATCTTCCTCTATTATCTTGCATAGCCTCTTTATGTCTTGAAATTAATTGAAGATAAGATGGCCAACTTTTCTTTTCCTTTTTTATTACTTGCCAATATTTGATTCATCCCTGTGAGACTAAAGGTTTTAAGGTCATGTATTGTTCTCTCTTGCTTGTTGTAATATGCATCCTTAGGAGCCATTGTTGGTGATGTTGTTGGACTGTTCCTCAATTTTAAGGAATCCCATGGTTTTAGCATGCTATGTGGCTTTTACAGTGAGATGTAATTATTTTGTGTACCCATAACAAGTTATGTAGGGCTTCATGTTGATCTGTTTATACGAACTACATTAATTTGTGATTTGGAGTTTTTATCTAATCTACAATCCACACTAAACCTGCTGTTTATAATTTAAAATTAGGCACCACCAGTTTCTTATCCCAATGTAAGACTTTAAATCTTATCTTTGTTTTTTGTTGCTTCATATGAATGCATTTATTTGTTTTTGCCAGTCTTTTAAAAAATTCTTGAATCATTTAGAGTCAATTGAAACAACAAGTTAATTTTTGGAAATATATACATTTTTATTGATGATATTTTTCCCAGCCAGGAGAGTTTTAGATTAGCCCAGCCCCTTAGATCTTTCTGTATTTCCCACCATACTCTTTCATAATTATCCTTATACAGTGTTTTATTACAGTGGTGCCTCGCTTACCGATCGCTCCGTTGAGCGACGAAACCGCATACCGACGCTGTTTTTGTGATTGCAAAAGCGATCGCTTTGCGATGTTTCCTATGGGGAAAAATCACTTTGAGATGATCGTGCGGAAGCGATCACCGCAAAGCGCCCATTTTTTAACAGCTGATCGGCGGTTCCAAAATGGCTGCTGCAAAAACAAAATGGCCGCCACTGTTTTGCCTTGCTCTAGAGGCACCCAAAATGGCCACCACTATTGAGGAATTTCACATAAGGTGAGTTTTTAAGCCCATAGGAACATATTAAACACGTTTTAATACGTTCCTATGGGCTTTTAAAAATCGCTTAGCGATTAAATCACTTAGCGACATTTTTCCTGGAACAGATTAAAGTTGCTAAGTGAGGCACCACTGTATTTCCTTTTAAGCAAATACCTAGATACTGTATTGGTTTATTCATGAGTTCACATGCTGCAATTTTTATAATGTTATCTTCTTGTTTTGTTAGAAATTCTGTTATAAATTTGGTTTTTCTCCTGTTAATTTTAAAACCTGAGCGGAGTCCAAACTTTGCTATTTGTTCCATTACCTATTGTACTGAATAAAATGGATTGGAGATTGTTAAAACAACATCATCTACACAACTCCTCTACATAGCTTAAACTCCTCTCCATCTTTTTTTAATCCTTCAATGTGGCTGTCTTGTCTAATCTTAATCGCAAAGATCTCCATTGCTAAAATAAGCAATGGTGACAATGGGCAACCTTGCCTGGTTCCTCTCTCAATAATAAACCCATCAGTTAATATTATATTTATTAATATTTTTGCATTTTAATAAATGTTTTTAATAAATTCCTTCATTCTAATTTTCGAACTTTGCTCCACAATCCAAATGTTGAAAACTTTACTTAGAAATCTCCAAGAAATATTATTAGATACCTTTTCTACAACTAAAAATATAAATGATGTTTTATGTTTGTTTTTTCTTACAAATTCCATTGCATCTATTACAAATCTTATGTTGTCTCGCATAAGTCTTTTAGAGACAAATCTAGTCTGATCAGGGTGTATTATTTTAATAATACACTTCTTTTCACCATTATTGCAGCAAAAATGTTATAATCCACATTAATTAGGGAGATTGATCTGTATGACTGTGGTAGTAGTGCATAATTTCCTTCTTTGAAGTTTAATGTTATATATGCTTTTTGCCATGAAGCTGGAAGTTCTTTTGTTTCACTTTATTTCATTCATTACTATTTGCAATGGTGTAATAAGTCTTCTAGGCTTTTATAGTAGATTCATGTCAGTCCACCCAGTCCTGGTGCTTTATCTATTTTTGTACAGTGGTGCCCCGCATGATGACGATAATCCGTTCCAGGAAAATCGCTGTTAAGCGAAATCGTCATCATGAGGGGAAAAAATCCCCATTGGAATGCATTGAAAACCAGTTAATACGTTCCAATGGGGAGATTACCTCATCATAGGGTGGCCATTTTGTGAGCACCGATCAGCTGTTTTTAATCGCTGTCTTCCAAAACAAGGGGCAGAAAACAGCGGGAGGCCATTTTGAAAACCCGACAATCAGCTGTAAAGATCATCATCCAGCGAAAAAATGGTTCCCGAAGCAGGGAACCAATCATCGTAAAGCGGATTTTTCCCAATGGAACCATTGCAAAAAGTAATCACACAGCAATTTCGTTGTGCAGCGGGGTCGTCGTAATGCGGGGAACCACTGTATTTCTTATTGCCTGGGATATATCTTGAATTGTTATCGTACAATTTAAGATGCCTCTGTTCTCCAGTGAAATTTTTTATATTTGTAATTCTTCATATATTCTTCAATCCCCTCTTCTACCAACTTTTCCTTCTTATATAATTGTGTGAAATAAGAGACAAAATTTTCTTGTATTTCTTTTTCAATATATGTGATCCTCTTTTCTGTTCTCACTTCTGTATCTTTCCTCCCCCACAATCCTTTGTCACATTGATTCTTTGCTTTTTAATCTATACTGCTACACCTTTTCTCTTCTCTTTAGCTGATGCCAGGTATGCTTTTTCCGAAGTTTTTGTATTTAAAATATGTTCATGTTCTTTCTTTATGTGCATTTCTTGGATACATATTATATTTGCTTTTAATGTCATTAGCTGATTAAAAGTTCTTGAACCTTTTTGTGGGGGAATTTAGATTGTTGATGTTAACTGATACAATATTTAGGACCTCCATCTTATTAAAATATTGTCATTTGTTTTAATTTATTATTATTAATTTTTCCCTCTGCATCAGGATTTTGTGATTCACTTGGAATGTCACTCTTAAATGATTTTCTAGAGGCTGAATTTTCTAACTCTTCTGATTCTTGTGATGTCTCTGAGCTGTTCCTCTTTAGAATTTCTTCAATTGTTCATTTAGCTTGTACAATGTTGGATATAATACATTTCCCTTTTGGTAGAGTCACTTCCAATGCATAGGTAATTTTCAAACAATGTCTTTTTTTTCCCCCCTAAGTTCTTGAGTGAAAAAGTCAACATCTTTTCTTTTCCTCAGTATGTCAGATGAAAGATCTTGGAAAAATTGTACTTCTATCCCATTTACGTCCAGTGTGTTGGTTCTTTGTTTAGTCAATATAAGGTCTCTAGTTTTCTTGTGTATAAACTTGGCCAGAATGTCTCTTGGGACTTTGTTGCGAATTTGTAGTTAATTCTGTAGATCTGAATACAGTTCAATAACTCTTCAGTCACAAAATGGTCCCATAATAGTGTGGAAAATTCCTCTTCCAGGTCTGTTTTCCCAATGTCTTCCAGAATGTTTCTAAATTTAAAGTCATAGTTCCTGTTCTGTATCTCTAATATTTCAATGTTTTGATTTGCTCCTTGGAGTTGTTGGTCTAAGCCTCCTTGGGCTAATTGTAATACTTGCTGCCTAGTTTTTAGTTTATCAATTTCCTCTGAATGCTGTTTAATTTGTTTCTGTTAATGCAGTCATTAATTCTTGCTTTAGAGTTAAGATGTCTCTTTATTCTTCAGATTTTTAATTTGATCTGATATCTATGTTACTTTGGAAGCCATGAAACCTTGGATCCTCTCCCAGAGATCTGTTGCATGTATTCCATACTCTTCTTTTCCTTCAAGTATATGTTTCTTAGTCCTAGATCTGTGTAATGTTTTTTAATACTTAATTTCCTGTCTGTAAATCTTCTTGTTTAAATTTTAGTCTGCAATTTCATTAGTTACACTATTAACATTCTTATCTTCTCCCAAGTGCAAATCAATTGCTAAGCAGCACCCTAGACCTGACACTTATCTCCCATATAAGCTATAAATAATTTGCTTATCAATGCTCGATAGACATTAGCATACATTCAGTTTCTCAATATTTCATGTTACTCAACTATTATTATTGTTGAGTTACCTCAACACCATCTTGCTTATATCTTACATAGCCTACATATGAAAAAGTGGCCTAGTTTACACATTCTCCTTCCCCCCACAATACAGGTATGTTATTAGTAGAAATATGAAATGTAATTAGGGGAGGAAAAGCCATGTCTTATAACCCAACATCAAAGGTTAAAAGATCAGAAATTCTGAATATATGCTATTGGTTAGTTATATTAGTATTGTTAGTTTAAATGGGATAGAAAAATCCAGATCAACAAATAAGAGTTCAGCAATCCAAATTGCTCTATTTGTCTTAGCTTTATTCAAATCTCAGCTGATGATGAGTCCTGGTTTTCTCTGCATAGGTTTGATCCATGTAGTTTAATTTCCCAGCTTTCCACCAGGTATCTGGGCAGATTGGTAGGTTTTCCAGGTTAGTTCAAATGATAATGATGTTACATAGATCCATTAGATGGCACTAGTTGCACTAATTTTTAATAATAAACATTACATGTCACAATCTCCATGTGGCCCATGCTTGTTTCACCAAACTAAGAGCTCACACTACCTGCCTTTCTGCTGCCATCAGCATTGTTTAAAATTAATAATAGAGGTCCAGGCAATGTGTCATTTTTAAAAGAAACAAATAGAAATTGTTTATTGATACAGATGTTGACAGAACAAGCAATGTTAACTCTTAAACATCCTCCTTTATCCACTCTCAACCGCCACTCTCCCGCCCAAACTCCCCAAACTCTCTCAACTCTCAATTTCCCAATCTAAAACTCCCTATCTCCTGCTGAGTCTCTTATATCTTGTGACTCCGCCCCTCTAGCACTGCTATTGGTCTATGCAGATAGCATATGAATATTCATGACCTGGGCGGACACATGTGTATTCCCAGCAGGCATCAACAATTCCCCTCTACTTAGCCAAGCAAGGAGGAATGGTGTCTGCCCAAGGTTATTTTAAAAAACAAATCACTCCTTCATGAATTATTATTCCAATTAAAACTCCTCCTCTTAAGTAAAGTTCCTCTCCCAGCAAGTGCAGCTATTTTTCAGGTCTCAGTATGAAATAAATCTGTTCAGTATCACTGTTTATACAAGAGCCAGTAACATCAAACTAATTAATAGTCCAAATTGCAAGCACTAGTGAGTAGATAGTAACTCAGGCACTATCTTACCAATTATAAGTGGCATAGCATGAAACAGAAGGAGAGAGTTTTTGCTTAGTTCCATTTCAGTGTCCTTGACTTCACTCAGTTGAGTTCAAAAAGGAAGAAAGACCAGAAAGTGAAAACAAAATGGAGGGTGCCAGCTGAGCTTACAGTTTCTTTCCCAGTCAAGCATGGTTGTCTCCAGTTTGTAGAGGGAGATGAGAGAAAATCTTCCCCTCTGCCAGACACCTCTGATGTTCACCAGTTCTGGAGTGTGGGAAATCCTGCACCAGCATTTATTAAGTTAAAAGTCTTGACAAAGGAGAGAGAGGCAGAAAGCTGTTGCATTCAGCTCAGCTGCCTCACCCAGAAGTCTTTTTTGTGTTTTATACAGTATTCTTAATGGTTGATTAAAGGTGTCACCTGCTCCTGCATCTGTATTGTTTCCACAATCTTATGGCCTTTTCCTGATTTTTCCTTAACTGAAAATGTGGTCACTCTGTGGCTGCTGCTGAGAAATCAATTATGTAATCTCAGAATTAAATGATCTGCTACCAGACAGAAAACTGACTGCATAATGTGAACAACAGTGTGATGCCTGGCTTGTTGTAAACCTTTGATTGACTGAAAACCAGGGCAATGTACTTGATCTATATAGACTGAAGAGTTCCTTTGAATCCCAGCTAATCTATGAAGTTTACTGGGTGACCATTGAGTATTCACTGGGACTCTTACCTTAGTGATCTCACTGGATTGTTCTGGAGATAAAACTGTAGTAATCTCATTGAGTTACTGAACCAATTTCCCCTTATGGTTCCCTGGGCATACTGGAGCATAGATGTTCTATTGCTCTATCTATAATTTGCATATTTCTCTAAATTTTATATGCACTATGACTGCCTTTGTTGAAACTCCTTATATTCACCTCTTTGGCGCCTTCGTTTTACTTTTTTGTCCCATTCAGTCAACTTTCTTTGCCTTCTAATATCACTAAGCTACATTGCATCCCTCTGCATTCCCTCTTCTCATGTTTTACTCCCTGTTTTTAGTCTCTTAGTTCGTTCATATCCCATCAGCAGCAAATTAAGTCCAGATATTCATGCTGTCCCTGTTTGAATCGATTTTATCAGATCTCTGGTAGTTCATCATGTGCGCATCCATGCTTACCTGTCCAAACACTTCCTCATTTACTGTGAAAGTGAGGTCCAGGATATCAGTGATGTTGTTGTCCTTCATCCACTGTAAACTTTGATGGAACTCTTCATCCAAGTACTCCAAGTCACTGAGGTCACATGGCCTTATTGTATGACATAAACACAAATAATATTGCAACCTTCTGGCTTCTAGAATACTGGGTGATTACATATGAAACAAAATGACAACAGTTTCAATTCTGAAAGGTCTGCACAATTGGTAGGGCAAAGTTTATATATATAGCTCCTACTGATTATAGCTAAATGGATCAGTAAATCTCAGAATAACAGATGCTGGAGACATTCTTTTGCTATCATACCTTGCTGTGCGTTTACTGGAAGCATCTCGCTGTCCAGTCATATAAACCTGGTATTAGAATAGATATGGCTATGGCTCCATACAGGCAAAGCTCCTATAGTCTTCTGAGTATAGCAGATAGGGTGCCACAAATGCCTAACAATAGGGGAGGTCTGTTTGATTACAACACACTGAAAAATGGTTACTGTTGTTGTCTTATAACACAGCAAAAGCCTTTTGTTTTGTTTTGTTTTGAGTTTACATCAAATCCTGGATTCTCTATAATGGACCAAACCAAAAATGCTTCTACCAGAACAATAAAGGCATTGCAAATGAAATGCCTTGAGTTGTTAAATATGTATACCTTCAGAAGCTACTATCTTGAAGGAGGACTGCAGCCAGACAGGCTGAGTATAGACAGTTAGAAAATGCCCCTTTAAAGTTATTGGGACCTACTTTCAGATATAAGTGCACACAGGATTATGTCCTTTATTTGCATTGCATTCAGAGAGCATACAAAAATGGTTTCCTTTTAAAATCCTTTTGAAATAATCCCTCCATCCCAAAGGGGAGAAAATACAATCTTCAATCAATCCTTCACATGCAAATACTCACAGTCTTAATAATGCTTTGTAGAACGGTCTTGTGAAGAAAGCATCAAGAAGGTACTGATGAATAAGAGCAAGGCCAAGGATACGGCCACTGAAACGGAACCTATCATAAAAAGAAAATGTAATGAATGGCATGTAATTTAAGAGAGTAGAATTCTGAGGCCACTTTCCTATATGTTTAAAGCAAAATAGAGATATTTTAGAGATGGGAAAAGTTACTTTTTTGTACTATACTGTAGCTACTAGTATTTCATAGCTAGCACAGCTACTGGTCATGCTGACTATAGAATTCTAGGAGCCATACCTAGCTGAGTATTTATAGGAAAGTAGCTTTTCTAATTTCTTCATTCTAAGAACTGCTATCCCACAATCCTGTAAAACTCTTATGATGAAGAACTAAGACATTTCCACTGAAACACCAAGGGCCAAGACCTGTGGGAGTCATGGAGCTCATAAAGGCAATTGTGTGAGTAGTGCATAATTTTGCAAGCTATCTGTCATTTAATGTATTCTCGAAGGCTTTGATGGCCAGGATCTGATTATTGTTGTGGGGTTTTTGGGCTCTTTGGCCATGTTCTGAAGGTTGTTCTTCCTGACGTTTCACTAGTCTTTGTGGCTAGCATCTACGGGGAGGAAATGGTCAGACAGATACAGCGACTGGAAACACTCCGAAGCAAAAGAGCGCACCTACTATGTTCCTTAACATTTCTACTATGCTGCAGAGACTCGAAAACCATACCAGCCTTCCTCTGGACAAAAAGGGCCTTCATTTCTCCTCAGGCTAGCTGCATCTATGACCGCCTGGAACATGCCCTCCTACGGGAAAGAATCCACACAACCCGCAAAAAACTGGACTCCACAGACAAAGTACTACCATTCCTACACATCAATATCAGCCAAAAAATGAGGAGTCAAGATTGGGACAAGATCGATACCCTCTCCTACAGAAAGATGGAAAAAGAAATGGTGAACCACACAGCCAGACAAAAACAGAAATACAACAACTGCCAAACAAGCCAACACAAACCTACATTAGACACCTCCTGCATCATCATTAACCTATCTGAACGCCAATTCTCCCTGGAAGAAACCTTGGTTTTAGCCAAAGGAGGAAACTTTGCAGTCACACCTAGTAAAATTCCTGTGGAAGTCATCATTGCCAAGGTGGAATCAGCATTGTATCATCTTCCAGAACAAAAAGCAGAAGAAATAAGAGGTGAAGTGACAAGGATCCTACGAAAAGCAAAACCCCCAAAAAGCAACATAACAAGAAAGGAGAGAAATGCTATCAAGTCCCTAAACTCAGATCCAAACATCATCATCAAAGGCAACACCAAAGTAATAATGGAAACAGAAGACTACAAGGACAAACTCAGGGAACTTCTAGACCGCACCAGCTACAGAAAACTGAAATGGGCAAAGTGCCATCGAGAGAACGACATATGAATTAGCAAAATAACTAGCCACCTCCTACAGACCCACATTGGACAAACCTCATCCTACATCAAAGACTCAGGACATTTCATAAGCAAGATCAGCACCCTAAAACTCAAGCCCAGGGACAGACTGATTAGCTTTGACGTAGTATCCCTGTTCACTAAGGTACCGATAAAGGACACCCTGACACTCATCCAGTGTCACATTCCCAGGGGTTACAACAGCCAAAGTCCGATAAACCAGTCCAGGGTCAAGAATACCAAGAATGCAAAGCCAATGTCCATAAATCAACTCACAGAATGAAGTCTAGTGTCAAAGTCCAGAGTCCGATACACAGCGTAGTCCAGGGGTAGAGTCCAAAGTCCAATACCAGCGTAGTCCAAGGGCAGAGTCCAGAGTCAGGAACACGGTCAAAGAAGCGTGGATGCAAGCCAAGATTTTGACTCTTTGCTTCCACAGAATTTCTGGCTTCACTGGGAGCTGTTTTATAGTAAAACAGCTCCTTGAGCTGCTGGAAAGCTTTCTATCCTGTTAAATCGCAAGACTAGATACACGTAGATTTCTGTGGACAGCCTTTGAGCGATCCTCTGATCTTCCTGTCCTAAGTCTTTCCCGAAGCCTGGCCCAAAGCTTGTCTGCTGGGGAAGGAGAATCTGGAGGCGGTTCAGGTGTTTCTGATCTCTCAGCATTCTCTTCAGCCTCAGTTAACACTTCTGGTTCCAGGTCTTCGGATGCACTCATGACACTATCGCCCTCCCCAGGACTCCCCCCTTCAGATGGGTTGGGTCGATTGGGGTAGGTAGCATGGAACTGCTGTATCAAATCAGGGGCATGTAGATTACTGGCGGGTTCCCACGATTGATCCTCAGGACCGTAACCCTGCCAATCCACAAAATACTGAAGACCCCCTCGGTGGATTCGGGAGTCCAGGACCTGACGGACCTCATATTCTTCCTCACCATTGATCAGAACAGGTGGAGGTGGAGCCGGGGGTGACGGTCGAGCAGGGTCCGGGGCTGAGACAGGAACAAGGAGGGATCGATGGAAAACCAGGTGGACACGGAGAGTATCTGGAAGTTGTAGCCGGAAGGCAACAGGGTTGATTTGTTCCATGATTACATAGGGTCCTATAAACTGAGGGTCCAACTTACGGGTTTGGCCAGGTCGGCGAAGGTGACGGGTAGAAAGCCAGACCTGGTCTCCTGGTTTCAGAGGTGGCCCTTCTTGTCGCTTCCGGTCAGCCGCTGTTTTATAAGCTTCTTTAGCCTGCTGAAGCTGCTCTCGGAGTAAGTCTTGGAGGGCCTGCAACTCGCGTATATGGGCATCGGCAGCAGGAACCATGGTCGAGGGTAGAGTAGCCAGGAAAAAGCGAGGATGGTATCCATAGTTGGCTTCAAAGGGTGTCTGTTCTGTAGATGTGTGTACCGCGTTATTGTAAGCAAATTCCGCCAGGGGTAACAGGGTAGCCCAATTATCTTGCTGATAACAGGTGTAGCAACGGAGATACTGTTCTAGGGTGGCATTGGTACGCTCAGTCTGTTCATCTGTTTGAGGATGATATGCTGACGACAAGTGCACCTGGGTACCCAAACTGGAGTGTAAGGCTTGCCAGAACTGGGAAGTGAATTGGGAACCACGATCAGAAATTAGGTGCGTCGGGAGACCATGTAGACGGAAAACATGACTGAGGTAGAGTTAAGCAGTGTCAGGAGCTGTGGGAGGTTTGGAACATGG